AGATTGCTTTCCCATCATCCAACCGTCCATAGATATGACTCCGTCTTCTTCTCTCATCATCATCTTTCTTGGCTTCTTCTCTATTTAAACTTCTCTGCCTCTTACTCTGCTCTCCCTCTTCAGCGTTTAGGCAGCCACAAAAAAAATCCTCAAAACCCATTTATCTCTTTCCGATCTCAAATCTCCGCCGTTGATTATCTAAATCGATCAATCAAACGAAATTAAAAAACAGAGCTTTAAGAGACTCCACAAGTTTGTTAATTTGCTCTGGAACAGAGTAAAGGGTCTTGTTTTAGTTTTGCGGCATCAAGCATTTTTCTTATATTGTCTTCTCTCTTTCTCCGTCTTGTATTAACATCCGTGGATCTGTCTCCGGTCTTAAAGTTAGCTCTGTTACCTGTTTTGTCCGTCCTGTTTATCAACGATGAGGAGGTTAAGAGGGATCAAGATTAGAAGACCGATTCAACGAATCTCAAGATGGATTCTCCGGAAAACCCGTATCCGCCGTTCGAAATACATCCGGTTAAGCCCGACCCAACCGGCGGTTTGCAAACCAAGAGCCATCACAAAACTCATAAGTTGGGGTCGCAGTTTTACATCCCACAGCGCCAGATTTCTCGGGTCTAAAAGATCAAATTCCGGATACATACCAATTGGTAAGGATCCGATACAAAGTAAACCCGACCCGGTTCCAAAAGGTCACTCGGCGGTTTATGTCGGTAAGAAAGACGGCGACTTTCACAGAGTTCTGGTGCCCATCGTTTACTTTAACCATCCTCTGTTCGGAGAGCTTCTGAGAGAAGCAGAAGAAGAATTTGGGTTTTGCCAAGAAGGTGGAATCACTATCCCTTGTCCTTATTCGGATTTTAAACGGGTCCAGACCCGAATTGAATCCGGGTCGGGTTTCGGAAAACTTCCCTGGAGCCGACGCCGGCAATAACGACGACGGAAGAAGACGATTGATGATGATGATGAAAAAAGTTGTAGCTCTTTTTACTATTTTCTATCTTTTGTGACCTTTTTTCACTTTCACCTTTTTTTTTACCCTTTTGTATATGTGTAAGTGCGATTTTTTTAGTTTTAATTTTTAAACTAAGACGATAATGTAAATAATTTAGAGATTTTTCTTTTGCCGTAATTGCATGAGTGAGTGCTTTTGGTAGGGCTCTATTATCTATGATTACGAATTGATTAGGATAGATATATAGTGATTTTAAAGGTGAATTAAAATGATAAAACCCAAAGAAAAAGTATAACACGATTCTGTTCATCTTTGGACCTACACAAGATTTTGCTATCAATCACAATGATTCATCATTGTTATCCCCACTAATTCTGTTTACACATATATTGGGAAATAATTGAGATTTTTTAGATCAGAATTTTTATTTTATTTTTAGCGAAAGGGCTAGATCAGAAATTTTCCAACTTAGAAAGTGCATGGACAAATGATTATACATGCAAAAATGATACTGTTGACTTCCGAATTTGATTAGCCTACGGAACACTGTAATGAGAAAATATTGTATGTATTTAATTTTTCCAATCTATAATAGGGCTTTTATGATTAACAATCAATCTATTTTCGTGCAAATGTTGAAATATGAATACGTAAACCCTTTTTCAAAAAAAAAAAAATGTTGAAATGTGAATATATGGCTGGGAAAAAATTATGAGGAAAATACTGAGATATTCTGGCATTGAAGTAATTGTCGCCATTAGAGTCCCTTTCGATATATGTACGTAGCGATGATTTTTTAGTGGAGAATCCACGAAGAATCAATGATTTTCACGGCAAGCCCAAAAAAAGAAGAAAGTATTTATAGAAAAATACTTAGAAAAAGCACATTCACTATGCCCTTTGACTAAACAAAAAGCACATTCATATGTTAAGTTTATTTAGAGCAACTAACTAATTGAATTGGCTCAAGCATAATAATCACGCGCGGGTGGCTAGAGCGTAACTTAATTTAAAATAAATCAATATTTTGGACTTTTATGCAAAAATATTTGGTATATTTAAATATAGTTCTCAGTTATGTGTTTTTATATAACAAACTTCAAATATCAATACTCATGAAGTTGAAGATAATTAAAATTCAAACTGTATTTCCTTTGAGGTTGGATTGGTTGTTGAAGTGCCAAGTTGATTCATAGATTGGTCCAATTTCTATTGAGTTGAAATGAATGTGGATAAGTAGTGGCTGTAACAATCAATGATTGTTCTTCTCCAAATGCATATGAGAAGGTAAGCTTAGAGTTAGACGTACGACCTGTTAACCTAATCCTTTTTTTGTTGACTTTATAACCAAACCAAACCAAACCGAAAACATTATCTTTTTTTTTTGTCGCAACCGGATACATTATCCATTTATCCTCAGTCATTCAAAAGTCCAAGTAATTTGCATTTACTGTATGTAATTTTATTTTTCCCGTTGACATTTGAAACCCGAATTGATCTATATATATATGAAGAGCTTCAATAATTGCTTAACGTGGGATCTAGTAGCTTATACAAAGCGGTCCAGTGACACCAATGAGCAGCTGAAGAATGAAAAATGTAACAGGTGTAAACGTGAACAAGGTCATCAAAACGTGGGCTTTGACTCATCCACAGCTATAGCCCAATACACCTGTTTCCATTAAACATCCCTTTTTAAGTTAAAACTCAAAACGTGGGCTTTTAACTCATCTCTTATCAGGAATGAAAAGATTGATGTAGAGGACAAAGTAAGAGTTCTCACAATGTTAAGGAGAGAAACTGTACTACTCATATCTAATTATCTACTACTCCTTCTGTTTTTTTTTTTATATATATGATGTTGAAGTGTTTTGTCTATAAATTTAAAATTTATTTAATATTATATTTTTTAAAAAATTATAAAATTCAAAAAATCTGAACAATAAAAATATAATTATTTTTTACATAAATATGTAAGAACATCAACTATTTTTAAATAATTTTTTTTAAAAATATTATATATAAAAACGGAGGGAATATATTTTTTCTAAAATATTTATGTAAATTAATTAGTTTTATTCAAACTGATTACACCAATTCCTTGCGGTCTATTTCGGCCGGGCTAGATTCGGAGTTCGAAATATCGCCCTATTCTATTATCAGACATAATTGAGAGAAGTTCTACTAAAAAGTGATTCAAGCGTGTAATATTGATTTATACTTTGACTTGATAGAGGTAAGGGCTTCGACCTCGTTGGAGTTAATTGCTTCAAGTTCAGGGGTTGTAAGAATACCAACGATGCAATTGGAAAAATTCATTAGGAGTGATGTTAAGAAGAGAAACAAAGTGCATTTCGGATCGCAGTTGTTTCTTCCGGATTGCAGAATAAATACAACAAAAACGATAAAAACAGCCATTTTAGCTCTAGGCCCATTGGGCAATGTATGAATAACCCACTATTAATGCATTTGTTGACAAAAAAAAAATACAACAAGGACGAGACATTAATTATTCTTATATGTGTCACATTCTTGCTAATTTAAATACATCTTCTAAGTTTCTAACTCATTCTTATATGTATATATCTACATTACTTACATTTGATTAACTTTTTTTTAAAAAAGCATGAAAAACTGATACATAAAAGAGGAAGAAAATATTTGAATTGATATTCCAATTTACAAAGAACAAACAAATATTAGGAAGAAGTCAAAATAAAATATATAAAAAACAATTAGGGAACACATTTACGTTTTTTTGTTGTTGTTGTTAAGTCACATTTATGTATTAATTAAAAAACAAGATTTACATTTAATTACATTTGATTCTGACAATTTGTTTTTTCCACTAATTAGCATCTTCCATTAATTAGCATTACATTTTATTTTTCCACTAATTTATTCTAATTTATTCATTGTAATCTCTACATTATTGACATTTGATTTTTCCATTAATTAGCATGAAAATTCCACTATAAAAATGAAAAGAGATGAATCAAACCAAAATGAGAGAGAGAGAGAGATGAAAATGTTGAAAGATGGTATGGTGATACTCATCGTAAGTACTCTAAGCTTGTTCCTAATGACATCATCAATGGCTGTAATTCATGACGACCCATCTTCCATTGGAGTCAAGAGATCGGTCCCACGAGGTTCAGATCCTATACATAATCCTTCTTATCATCATTTGATTGAAGTCAAGAGATCGGTCCCACGAGGTTCAGATCCTATACATAATCATTTTCATCGTCATTTGATTGAAGTTAAGAGATCGGTTCCACGAGGTTCAGATCCTATACACAATCCTTCTCATCGTCATTTGATTGAAGTCAACAGAAATTCTCCATGAGGTTCAAATCCTATACTATACATAGTCCTCATCGTCATTTGATTTGAATAACAATGTTCAAAAAATAATTTCAATTATTCTATCAATAAGGAATGTTCATAAAATAATCTCAATTTTTCTATCAATGAAGAATGTTCAATTATTTTATAATTCTTATTAAATAGCAATGATTAAATTTATTTATCGATTATTAAATTTCTTTTGACATTTCTCGTACCTTTTTTCTTTCTTTCTTCTTGTACGTGAACTTGTTATCTAGCAAGTGCATTGTCGACAAATTCATTTGGTCGTGGTCAGGATTTAAAACAAACTTGTTTCTACCACTTTAAAAAGTTATAAATTCTCTCCACTATAACTTAAGGAGAATATGTGTGATGGAATCAATATAGCGAACATATACTAATCAAAAGGACATGATTAAATTGGGACCCTCTTTGCACAAAAGAAGTCTCAAGAAAATGCCTCTCAAAATCCCCAAACCTTCTTTAATTATGTCTAAATCATATATCTATTTAATTAATAAACCAATTCTATCATCCGATTTGTCGAGTTTTTGGTATTGATTCGTTACAAGTGAATGTTTGTATAATTAAGATTATCGAGTTTTAAGCTTATCTAGGTTTGCATTCGTTCTAGATATATCCGCATATCTCGTGGACCGACCCATTTTAGTGAACCAAATCACTCTCCCAAAAAAATAAAATATATAATTGATTAAAAGACAATGAAATAATTATGATAAAATCAAAAGCCAAGAAGCCATTTGAAAACAAACCCAAAGAATCCCAAAAGAACCGAAAAATGATGAGAAGACTCTTTATTTTTTCTCTCTTTTTCTTCCTATTCTTCCACTCATCATCTTCCTCAAGATCTTCATCAGAATCTCACATCTTCATCTACGGTGGATGTTCACCAGAAAAATACATTCCAAACACTCCTTTCGAATCAAACCGCGATACTTTCCTCTCCTCTGTCGTCACTTCCTCCTCCGACGCCTCCTTCAACAGTTTCGCCGTCGGCAATGACTCTTCCTCCTCCTCCTTCCCCGTCTTCGGCCTTTATCAATGCCGTGACGATCTCCGATCATCAGACTGCTCTAAATGTATCCAAAACTCAGTCGATCAAATCACACTCCTTTGTCCTTACTCTTACGGTGCTTCTCTCCAGCTCCAAGGATGCTTCTTACGTTACGAGACCAACGATTTTCTCGGGAAACCAGACACGAGTCTTAGGTATAGAAAGTGCAGTTCCAAGAGCGTTGAGAATGACTACGATTTCTTTAAGCGGAGAGACGATGTATTGTCGGATCTTGAGTCGACTCATCTCGGTTACAAAGTTAGCCGTTCCGGTTTAGTCGAAGGTTATGCTCAGTGTGTTGGTGACTTGAGCCCTAGTGACTGTACGGCTTGTCTTGCGGAAACTGTTGGAAAATTAAAGAATCTTTGTGGCTCGGCGGTTGCAGCTGAGGTTTACTTGGCTCAGTGCTATGCTCGTTATTGGGGTTCTGGTTACTACGACTTCTCTTCAGGTTGGTCCATAAATTCAAATCCTTCATTTCATCTATCGAGTATTGCTATAGTTACTATTTACTAACACCATATTTTTGTCGTTTACAACTCACACATGACATAGTCATGCACACTAATTTAATCATGGATTAATTATGACATTATGACGATACTAATTACGTAACTTAAAAAAGTTGAATTGTTTGATTTCGTTAGTTATCTCCATGGATTATACTTATATGCCATACTTATATAATTTAGACTTGTAATAAATTTAATAGAAACGTTTAGAAAATTTGACCAAGTTTAAAATTTCCGCCGCTCGTAATTGAGAAATTCACGAGTCTTGTTGCTTCTTAGTTGCACGAGAAAGCTGAAGAAATCATAAAAAAAGTTTCATTATTTTGTCCTGCAAAAAGATACCATTAAGTATTGAATAAAATAAAACTAATCTTTTGAATTATTCGTTGGAAAATTCGAGCATCATGATTATAATATGATTGGTCAGAAAAGAATGTCTTTGCAGATAATTATATAGCTATAGTATATAATATTCTTTTCTTTATAGGCATAGCCACCCATGTCCCCAATTCCAACTTTATTTTATATATTCTTTATAGCTTGATCAATATCACACAATACAAAAGTCCCTACATCTTTGAAATTCTAATTCTTAGCTTGATACTATGGTCTTGCCCTTATGTACTTTGTCACATACTATATGATATTTCTAAACTAATCTAACTTTCGTAATTAAGATCCAACGAACGGAGATAACGTGGGGAAATCAATTGCGATCATCGTAGGAGTCATTGCTGGATTTGCTATTCTCGTTGTTCTCCTCTCCCTCTGCAGAAACTCCATGCGTAAGTACTTAATTATTGCCTTTTTTTTTTTCTTTACTTGCATAATCTTCACACATGATTTAAATTAAATTACTCATATTATGAAGATTCGAATTTCATTGGCTCTTTAAGAACTATCATAATCTTTTAATTTATTATTTGCAGATTAACATTGAGGAAGACATGGTTCGGGATAAAAGATTCTAGGGACCTGTTTTTGTTTTGCTTGAATTCTCTTTATTTTGGTACTTTGTAGGAACATATATCCGTTACGGCTCGTTATTGATTATTTTTGGTTTATCAAAAGGAAAAAACCTCGAAGAGACCTTATAATATAAGTATGATCTAGCTTTAATGTACAAATAAATCTTTTAATAGTGACCCGTATTGTCTGCCTTGAAAAATGATAAGTTTATTCCATTAAATAGTTATATAGGCTACATACCCACTTTCCTTAGCAGGCGCAATTATTCGATACTCATACTTAGATCGTAAAAAAAATATAACTTAATTCACCTTGAGTATAGTATCTTTAGACTTTAAAGGTTCTGCCGAAAAAAAGGACTTTTATTCAACCTGTTAATATGATCCGGGTCTACCGAATCTTATGGATCGCACCATATTAACTTATGGGCTTCGCGCCAGCCCAATAGATCGAAACGACAGAGGTTTTACATCAACGGAGAAATTGAAACGAAGAGTGTTTTCTTTTAAATTTGGGGTTTTCGCTGTCTACACTCTTCGTTATACTCTTCATTAAAGATGATTTAATCTCAGTCTTGGTCGCATGTACACGTATTCGTTCAATTTGATATGGCATCGCATTAATTTACAACCTGATATGTAAAACGTAATTAATGAAATTAGTCTCATATGCATGACGTAATTAATGAAATTAGTCTCATATGCATGGCTATCAACATCATAGAAACACAAGCTTACACATACTCTCACACGTGCCTTATATATCTCTCCATGTGTTAGATTCCTCGCCACCATCTTCATCTACGTTCTAGGACAAGTTCCATTCCTCGTTTGCTATTAAATACACAACAACAAGTCAACAACACACAACAACAATCATTTTAAAACACACCAATTACCATCATAATAAAATTTACTTAAAAGAAAATGTACACGTTTGTTAAAACCACCGACTTATTCACCATCTTGTTCTTTCTAGCAACTGCAACCGTCGTAGTCACCTCAAAAACATCTGAATTAGATGTGCTTGAGACGGCTCGAGCTGCAGTGGTTGAAGCCAAAACTAGGTTTTGGTCAGTGGCAACGGTTGAGGCAACAAATGAAGTTGCTAGCGGTTTTCATAATTTGGGGTTAAGTGACTGTGAGAAGCTCTATGATGATAGTGAGGCTAGACTATCAAAACTTGTCGTGGCTCATGAGAATTTTACCGTTGAAGATGTAAGAACGTGGCTCAGCGGCGTGCTAGCGAACCATCACACTTGTTTCGACGGTTTGAATCAGTCACGTCAAGATGACAAGCTTTTCGTCCAGCGTAACGTCACGTTCGTGCTCCGCGAAGCTTTGGCATTCTACAAAAAATCTAGAGGTCATATGAAAAAGAGTAAGAACACAAATATTCATGTCTATGTATATTTACATCAAATGATTAAAGTACAGTAAAGTGGTCATGAGTCATGTAGTATCGCTGCATTACCACCACCTAACATATTTAAATAAAAGATAAAATATTTCCGCTTTCTTGAAAATCTATCTCGCGATTGCTTTACAGTATCTATTAATATCATGTAGGGATGCATGGACCAACGAGACCAAAACATGGACCGACGAGACCAAATCATGGACCAGCGAAACCATACCATGGACCAGCAAGATCAAACCCGAGCGGAGGAATGTTAGTGTCGTGGAATCCGACAGAGTCAAGGGCGGATTTCGTGGTGGCGAAGGACGGTTCGGCAGCTCATCGGTCGATAAATGAAGCATTAACCGCCGTTTCAAGAATGGGTAAAAGTCGGTCGCATAGAGTGATAATCTATGTAAAAGCGGGTGTTTATAACGAGAAAATCGAAATATATAGAGACATGAAGAATATCATGCTAGTTGGTGATGGTATGGACCGTACAATTATCACCAATAACAAAAACGTCCCTGATGGTTCCACGACTTATGGATCAGCCACATTCGGTATATATAACATATACAATATTTAATAAATTCCTAATAACTTTCATATATTATACACTATATATTTGCATGCTGATATTTAGTAATTAGTCGATGTATATCGATCTAGGGGTGTCCGGAGATGGATTTTGGGCACGAGACATGACGTTCGAGAACACGGCAGGGCCACATAAACATCAAGCCGTGGCATTGAGAGTGAACTCGGATTTGTCTGTATTCTATCGATGTAGTTTCAAAGGATATCAAGACACTCTTTTCACGCACTCGCTCCGTCAATTCTACCGCGATTGCCACATTTATGGTATTATATGATTTTATCTTTGTTAACGAAACAAGTCATGTGTGATCATATATATATAAACATTTATGGATTTATAAATTTTGGGAAATTTTGGATAGGTACGATTGATTTCATATTTGGAGATGCGGCTGTAGTTTTCCAAAACTGTGATTTATTTGTGAGACGGCCTATGGATTATCAAAGCAATATGATAACAGCTCAAGGAAGAGACGACCCACATGAAAATACAGGTACGATTATCACTCTTATGGGGCGACTTGGTAACCGGTAAGATTAAAAAAAAATGCAAATCAAAACTATAACCGTATAAAACCAATCCAGATTAAAAACATTACTTTGGTTTTACCATAATTAAACCGGAAAAACATAAAATGAAACCTTTAGCTGAACCGGGGTTTAAACGCTCCTAGTCCTACAATACCAATGTATAAATATTTATTATAGTCATGGTTAATTATAACCGGTTTCTAATTTTATTTGATATTTGAATGTAGGCATTTCGATCCAACACTCAAGGGTCAGACCAGCGCCAGAATTTGAGGCGGTTAAAGGCCGGTTTAAGAGCTACTTGGGCCGGCCGTGGAAGAAATACTCTCGGACCGTGTTTCTCAAGACGGATCTCGATGGGTTGATTGATCCGAAGGGGTGGACAGAATGGAGAGGCGATTTCGCTCTGTCAACGTTGTATTACGGCGAGTTTATGAACACCGGAAGTGGAGCGGGGACTAGTGGAAGGGTGAACTGGCCTGGATTTCACCGCCTTCACGGCGAAGAAGAGGCTTCTCCGTTCACCGTCAGCCGATTTATACAAGGGGATTCTTGGATCCCTATCACCGGTGTGCCGTTTTTGGCCGGGGTCTAAGTGTCTTCAGTGAGATTGTTGATGTTTTTCTAAATCCATAAAAAGAAAAAGATGTATCCATGTTTTTTTAAAAAAATTGTTCTCTACTTGCTTAGATTAACAAAATCTGTGAAAGCAAAACGAGAACATAGTTTCGACTCGAGGACAATGCATAAGCTTACCAATCAGAAGCCAGAGGAATCGACCAGAGCTGAGTAAGACGCATTCTCGTCCGAAGCCGTCGTGGCAATATCCCTAGTCAACGTTCTGCTTCTGGTCCTGAACACTACTCCATGATCTAAACCAGTCAATTCACACAACTCTAACCTCTCAGATTGGGTTGACTTCATGTCAGCATCCCAACAAGATTTGGATATTATATCTTTCACTTCCCCAATCTTGTCCTCCGTTACTAAGACACTGTTTTGAACGAGCGCAAAATAGGCTTCTTCAGCCGCCTTCTCTCGTATCTGGATCAGGTAAAAACAAAAACAAAAGTCATATATGTAACCAACATAATTTTTCTAATTAGTTTTGAGATGCAGATAAGTGACATGAACCTTTGGGTATCGATGGGCGAGGAGTGATAGAAGCTGAGAGAAAGCTTGTCTGCTGATGGGTTCCGAGACTGAAGCGATAGAACCAAGTATTGTAACGCCTGCCTCCAACTTTGCGAACTCCTTTGAGGCTCTTAGTTCGATAGCTAACGAATCCACGACTCCCTTGTAGAAACTCAACATATAATCCTCCTGCAACAAAATGAAAGATAAGCTTTTTGTGGAACCTGTTTAAGGATTAATCTACAAGCCTTGGCAATATCTAATCCAAACAAGTGAAACTCTAAAACCAACCTCTTGATTCAGAAAAATCTTTTCGTCGAAGAGCTCCTCAATTGTCTGTGTAAAACGAAAAGTGTTAAAGACATAACCACATATAAGCTAGAGGTTGATGTATATAAGGTGGCGTATTTACCTTGAGACAAGGTATGATAACTCGGTCACATTTCTTGTACTCTTCAAGTATCCAGAGGATGTCCTCGCACATCGAAGACTTTCTTGATCGTTGTTCTTTAGCCTCTTCACCTTCCCCTATATACTGCAGCAATGCAGAGAATGAAGCCTTTTGAAGTGACTCTTGTAACCCTCCAGTCGATATTACTAATCCAGACATCAGCTCTTTGCTGTAACAACGGAATCCTAGTAACTGAACGAAACGTGGGAAAGAGAAAGTCGGCACCTACAAAAGAATATAATAACTTACTTACTGTCAGATAAAACCCTTTGAAACCAAAGAAGCATCCAACACTTTAGATTCTGCTTACCGCCCATCGTAGGCCTGCTTCGTTGGGAATCATTTCTTCTAGTTTTTCCCTATAAGGTATGAAAGGGACGGTAACAGTTTCGTGATACAAAATCCTTTGAAGAGACTTTGCAGCTGTTTCTCTTAATTTATCCATTTTCTCCACTCCTTGCTTCACAATACCTCCAATCAAACGGTTTGCGAGGTTTGAATCGAAAAGCGAGGATGAATCGCCCGCTGAATTTGTTCCCATTTTTTTACAGAGAATATATGTACATTTCTCAAGACCATGGATTGCAGCTTCACGAACCCAAGAGCCTACATCACCTCTATTATCAACTGAATAGTCATCAAGAGCTGTCAGTAAAGTATCCATCACTTCAGTCTTGATGAGAATATAAAGAGTCAGATCATCGTTTTCAGGGTCACTTCGCTGAGTAAGAGTCTCACACACGGATGTGAGTCCCTTTACAGCATTCATGCGTGCCTCAGCATCCCTATCTTCAGGATTCGCCTGCTTGGCGGAAAAATAAACAACAACCATCAAAGTCATTATTTCATACTGTTTTTGAAAGATTGGAGACTGATTTACTGAAGTCACATGTTGTTTTCGTTACCTCTATCTTACACGCACTGCAGAGCTTCAAAACTACATCCTTCCATTTTGAAATCAATAGTTCATACGGCAAAACACCAAGTGCAAGCGCAGAACCTCTTCGAACAGCTACGTTTGGGTCCGTTAGATGTTCTAGGTGTTTTGATATTAAATCAACAACTTTCTTATCATTGCCAATGAAATAGGATTGCAGAAGCTGTTTAATAGCATTGACAGCTGCATTCTGAATAATAAGTGTGAGTTAGGTTAACACTTAACAGTATGGAAATAAAATAACTTGATGACATTGAGAAAGATAGGTACCTGTATCTGAGAATTGGGATGTCTTAAATTCTCAGTGAGGGTATCAAGCAGGATGCGTTCGGTTCTCTGAGATAATGTCACATGCGATAACGAGATACACTCGATAAACCGTGAGACAGCCAGTCGCATTATCTCTCCACCTTTTCCACGGTAAAGGCGTGCTTTCTCAATGGCAGGGACAATACCAGCCATACGCTTTTGCCTATCTGTAAAAATTAAGTGCACCAAGAGCATTTAACATAAAGGATAATGATGCCAACCGTCGAACTTGTTGTACTTGCATATGCAAAGATGCTACAAAAGTGAAAGCTGAAAAAGCGATGGTACCAACCAGCAGAAAGGACATAGCCACACTGGTGCAGAGCTAACACAACCTCTCCAGCTGCCAATGTTACACCATGGCGCATGCACAAATCAGTTGAGAGGGTACAAGGAATTAGTTTCTCCAGCACATAGTTGTCAAAGTGCTTAGGCTCGTATTTAACAAGAGCAGCAAGAGTTTCGGCAGCAAGTTCTCTCAAGCTTTTATCCTGAAATCATTAGATTGAATAATTATTATATCATGGAAGATACGACTAGGAATAACGACCTTAAAGAGATATTAGAGGCGAACCAATAAGAAACAAAGCATACCCAGTGGCAGATCTTGTTGTATAGCAATTCATCCACAAAAGGATATAGATACCCTTCATACTGAGCAATGGAAACAGCAACCTGAAGGTAAGAGTTCACCCGAGAAGAAAGGGTGAAATAGTCAGCTATGTTCACTATGTCAATCCCATGAGGGTAATTTCCTTGCCTTCCAACATTCTCTTGGAAAGCAGCGGCAGCAGCCCTTCTACAGTTCACCTGGTAAAATAAATCAATAAACTTTACGCACTGAAGAGATCTACAAATACACAATTCTTCAAATCAATCAGGAAACGGCAAACAAATTATAGTCAAAAGAGTCATTAGTACCTCTCTATCAAAGGAACCTACTATCAATAGATCTGGAGCAAGCTGATCAAGCACGTTTTTCATATCTTTGTGGTAATAGGCACGGCCAAATGCCCAACAAACATAGGCAGCTGCATCACGCACATGAGATCCAACACTGTGCGGACCTCTACGGATATCATAATGGAGTGCCTGAAATGATATATAAATGTAAATCCATAAAGCGTCTGCATAATTTGGGCGAGTCACGTATAATTAATCCTGTGAATGGGATAGAGTAAGACCTTCACAATAATTGGGACGACTTGTGGGAAACTTCTAGGCAACAGTAACCCTCTACGAGCCAGTTCAGCTAAAGCCAAACAACCTCCATGCCATGAGCCATCTCCCTGATTATCATGAAAATCACAATAACTGTCAGTTAGACAATGCCTGTTTTCATTAGACTTTACCGCATGCAGATATCCATTATGAGTACCTCTCCTGGTGAAAACAGCTCCAATACAGATGACAACACCTCTTCAGAAAGAACAGATGTTAGTCGTGAAGTTACACGACCTATACCCTTTGCAGCAGACCAACGAACAACGGTGTCCTACACGGTTTAAAAAATAGTAAATTTTCGAAAGGACAATGTTTGCAAGTACTAGTAACATGCGAGACTGCTGGTTGGCAGGTTAAAGTTTCATGTGGCAAAAAAAGTTTGCATTCGATATCAAGTCAGGTCCATCACAGCTTTATGTGGCGTACATATATTTATAGTTACCAGTCAATAAATAAAAATCTGTCTGAGTGCTGACTGTTAACTCTAGTCTATGGCGTATTTTTACTCAAATTATCATGTGGTCATCTAGTTGTATAAGTTGAGATGTAATCACCTCTAGTTAGCACCCACTAAACATACCGTATCTCTCAAACCAGAGAGTAGCATTTCAATTATCTCTTCTAAGATTTCAGGAACATCCATATCTTCATCCTCTTGGTCTTCCAAACTTTCTGGTTGTGAGACGGTAGTGACAGCATGATCAGGCGCCAATCTTTGGGTCGAGCTCGTAGATATATTCTCAGAAAGGGAGGCGGTTTGAGCCTGCATGGTAATTTGATGAACAAGTTCAGATGACTAACTGAAAAATGAGATAATGTCTCTTACGGGAATAAACCAGAAACTCTAAGCTCATGTACTTGCAGTACTATATTATACATGCTAAAAGGTATGTACCACATAGCGCCAGGTAGGTGAGCGATGAGGAAGACAAACAAGCCCTATCCTCTGAGTTAACTTAATCAAATACTTGCGAAGCAGAGGACTTTTAGTTGCTGCATTTGATTTGCTTAGCACGGTCACATCATTCAAAACAGTAGGAAGCACATCCAGCAACACTTTCCGGCTAGCAGTCTGCCAATGAAAGTAGACTTATAAGATCCAGATGCATAAATAAAAAAACTTAAGTACACAAAATGTTTCCAACAAGATAAATACATGCAAATCAAATCGGATATTTACTTTACTGACATCTATATATATGCCTAACGTATTCAGTATGAACCACTATTGAAAGCAAAGTGAGCAACTCCAGGTTACAAGAAGAAACCTTAAAAATGGCAGCCAGTGCCTCCATCACACCAAGCAAGCGAAAGTGGTTCAAGACACTATCTTCCTTAGAAGACAAAACTTCATGCGTCCACTCAACAAAACTGAAAGGGAAATGCCACAGTGCAACAAAGAAATATTACTTCATCCATTCAAGCTGAGTAATTCGTACATGTGACAAAAACGAAACAAAAAGCAGTTTATAAACAATCTTATTGGTGAAATCAAGCGTTCAAAGCTAATCGAAACTAAAAGATGAAGCACTGATGGTGATAGGATACAGACCTTGTGAACGCCTTTCCCATATCCGGACGCGTTAAAAGCTTAGAGAGGAGCAATCCCGATATCCTCCGCATCGGTCCAGAATTGCAGAGATAATCCTTACAGAAACCTAAAATCTTCAGTACCAAAGGAGCGAGGTCGTCCGCACCAAAGCTCTTGTCGTTTGCAATGCTTGTATCAACGGAAGAAATATCAAACGGGACCAACACGAGTATCGAAAGCCACAAAAGAGTAACGCATTTGGCCTCCATTTCCCCAGTGCTTTCTTGCCTCAGGGAAGAAACAGAAGCCGTGCTATGGCACTTCTCCAGGAGCGACACGGCGAGCTCCAGATCGGATACTTGATGCGGGAAGAACTTGATAATAGCTTTGTACCCACACACAGTAACCAGAGTATAGATGATGATGCAGATGGGCTTGATTGTTTCCAGAATCTCATGGGATCTCGCATCCAATTCCGCTGTTTTAGAGCGGATGATTAACATCAGCGGAGAAACTATGCTCTCTAAGTACGGCTCCACTAATTGACCTTGCTCTTGATATTTATCCATCTACGGTACAACGAAAACAAGGTCGGAACGAGGAATCGACATGATCGAGTAGATGAAGCTGAAACAGTGAGGAGCTTACGATGGATTGGATCTTCTGAACAGAAGAAGGATCAACGACGCGGCCATTTGAAACGATATCATCGAGAAGGGATTTAACGAGCTTCCACTCTTGCAAAAAGTATCTCTGTAGCACTCTCTCCTTCGAATCATGCTCGTCGTCTTCCTCTTCTCCATTTACGGCCGCTTCGATTTTGATTTTCTGCGGCAACCTTTCCTCTTCTATAGCTGCCATTTACTGTCACAGCCAATTCGAATAGAAATCTGGAAGGGAAACGGATTTCAACAAATTCCCGCGTTTGTACAAATCCGTTCGCCGACAAATTTCTCTCCGTATGGAAATGGAAATCAGGCGTCAAGAGTGATCGGTGAAGGCGAGAGTGCAATAGCTCATTTGGGCCATGTAAGTCCTATAATCTCTCTTTGGGCTTGTATGACCCATTTAAGAAGCTGTTATTTTACTGAACCAGGATTAACTATTAGTGTGCTATTGCCCATAAGCTTATTTTGGGCCTATACGATGGACCCATACATTTTTTGAGCCGGGCTTTTTATACCAGCTAAACTAATCAATTACAGAATCCTAACCATAGTAGGTAGGCGTGGATAAAAATACATTTTGCTTGTACCGTTATTCATTACTTGTGTATATCTTTCTGGATTTATATAAATTCAAAAGGAAGCAAATTTTCCATAGGAATTATTACCTTTTTCACTCATTTAGTCACACTTTTGAAAGAAATTTTATTAAATGGCGGATAATCCAAAGACTATTTGAAAAAGGAAAATGTAATAAAAATTGCGAAAGGCATAGAGGATCACTAAACTCTTAGCCTCAATCAGCGGTCACGATGATACCTTTTAAAGGGATCCAACGGTCAGATTTGATCCAACTTGTCCCTTAGTGAAGACGAAGAGATGGCGAAATTTTGTTTGATTGGCTAAAAATCCTCTCACACTCATAAAATAAGTTGCAGAGAGTCTCTCATTTCATTTGTACAACAAAGAGAGCGATACCAAAAAAAAAACCATGGCTTCAACTTCCTCCCTCGCTCTCTCTCAAGCTCTCCTTGCTCGTGCCATCTCTCACCATGGCTCCTCTGACCAGCGTGCCTCCTTACCAGCTTTCTCTGGACTCAAATCCACCGCCTCACGCGCCTCCGCTTCGTCTCGTCGACGGAACGCCGCATCCATGAGCAAAATCCGCTCTCTCCGCCCCCTCGTTCGCGCCGCAGCTGTTGAGACGCTGGAGCCGACCACCGATTCGTCTATTGTGGACAAATCGGTCAACACGATCAGGTTTTTGGCCATCGATGCGGTGGAGAAGGCGAATTCAGGTCACCCTGGGCTTCCCATGGGTTGTGCCCCGATGGCTCACATTTTGTACGATGAGGTCATGAGGTATAACCCGAAGAACCCTTATTGGTTCAACCGTGACCGCTTCGTTCTATCTGCTGGACATGGGTGTATGTTGCTTTACTCGTTGCTTCATCTCGCCGGCTACGACAGCGTCCTGGTCTGTGATCTCTTCTTTGCTTATGCTGCTAATAGTTCTTCTTCTATCCATTTTAACTTCCTGAGATTAGCGATTCTATTCCGTAATGGCTTTGGATCTGATCTTCGAATGTAGTCACTTTAGTGGAAAGATTCAATCTGTTTTGATGTTCATCTGATGGATGCTTAAAGGAGTTGAAAGCCATCCGATTTTACTGAAAAAAGTGTTGTATTTGTTTTCAGGAGGAAGATTTGAAGAGTTTCCGTCAATGGGGAAGCAGGACACCAGGACATCCTGAGAATTTCGAGACTCCTGGAATTGAAGTCACTACTGGTTTGAGATTCTGCATCTTTAGCTTGTGGATCATGTGAATTAAAGAAGCTTTTTTTTTTTCTATGTTTACAGTTGCGCTATCTGCTTTTTGCTGCTATGCAGGTCCTCTTGGACAAGGAATTGCGAATGCTGTTGGTTTAGCTCTTGCGGAGAAGCATTTGGCTGCTAGGTTCAACAAACCCGATGCTGAAGTTGTCGACCACTACACGTAATATATGAAGAATCTGTTTGCGCCCATATACTTATCGTTCTTGGTTTGTATATGCCTCTGATATTAAAAACTACTGTTTTGGATTGATTGTGTAGATATGTGATCCTCGGAGATGGTTGTCAGATGGAGGGTATCTCAAATGAAGCTTGCTCTCTAGCTGGCCATTGGGGGCTTGGAAAGCTCATTGCTTTCTACGACGACAATCACATTTCCATTGACGGAGACACAGAAATTGCCTTTACCGAGAATGTGGACCAGCGTTTCGAAGCCCTTGGATGGCATGTTATCTGGGTGAAGAATGGAAACACTGGGTATGACGAGATCCGTGCTGCCATTAAGGAAGCTAAAACTGTCACTGACAAGCCCACATTGATTAAGGTATCTATCTCTGCTAAAAAAAACAAAAATTAGCCATCAAACTCTCGTTTAGTTAAAAAAGAACTTTGGTATTGATTTACAATTTTGCTTGTATCCGAATGAATCTGCAGGTCACTACTACAATTGGTTATGGGTCTCCCAACAAGGCGAACTCATACAGTGTCCATGGAGCTGCACTTGGAAAGAAGGAAGTTGAGGCAACCAGAAATAACCTTGGATGGCCGTATGAGCCATTCCAGGTACCAGAGGAAGTTAAAAGGTAAGCAAACCTGAACAAAAGGCATCTGTTTACTTTTGTGCTATGGTATTTGCTCTTATGACTCACTGTCTGCTTTGCACTTTTCTAGCCACTGGAGTCGTCACACTCCTGAAGGCGCTGCCCTTGAATCTGACTGGAATGCAGCGTTTGCAGCGTATGAGAAGAAGTACCCAGAGGAAGCTGCAGAGTTGAAATCTATCATCACTGGTGAATTACCTGCTGGCTGGGAGAAGGCACTACCGGTAAGTAAAACTCTCCTTGTACTTGTGTACAATCCCATTGGTATTCAATAAATGGGGTTTTCACAACATCTTTGTTTTTTCTATTTTTAGACATACACGCCAGAGTCTCCGGGTGATGCCACCAGAAACCTGTCACAGCAATGCCTTAACGCCCTTGCTAAAGTTGTTCCCGGTTTCCTTGGAGGGAGTGCTGACCTTGCGTCTTCCAACATGACGTTGCTGAAAGCGTTTGGTGACTTCCAAAAGGCCACACCTGAAGAGAGAAATCTCAGGTTTGGTGTTAGGGAGCACGGAATGGGAGCCATCTGTAACGGCATTGTCCTTCACAGCCCCGGTCTTATCCCTTACTGTGCAACATTCTTTGTGTTCACTGACTACATGAGAGGTGCCATGAGAATCTCAGCATTGTCTGAAGCTGGTGTCATCTACGTTATGACCCATGACTCCATTGGTCTTGGAGAAGATGGACCAACCCATCAGCCTATTGAGCACATCGCCAGTTTCCGTGCGATGCCCAACACCCTTATGTTCCGTCCTGCTGACGGAAACGAAACAGCCGGTGCGTACAAGATCGCTGTCACCAAGCGCAAGACACCATCCATCTTAGCCCTGTCTAGGCAAAAGCTTCCTCACCTTCCGGGTACATCCATTGAAGGAGTCGAGAAGGGTGGATACACAATTTCTGACGACTCTTCAGGGAACAAACCGGATGTGATCTTGATCGGAACTGGATCTGAGCTAGAGATTGCAGCAAAGGCTGGAGAGGTGCTTAGGAAAGAAGGCAAAACCGTGAGAGTTGTATCGTTCGTGTGCTGGGAGCTGTTCGATGAGCAATCAGATGAGTACAAGGAGAGTGTTTTGCCATCTGATGTATCAGCAAGAGTGAGTATCGAAGCAGCTTCGACTTTCGGATGGGGAAAGATTGTTGGAGGGAAAGGAAAGTCCATTGGTGTTGATTCGTTCGGGGCCAGCGCACCAGCGCCTTTACTCTACAAGGAGTTTGGTATCACCGTGGAAGCTGTTGTTGATGCGGCTAAGTCACTCTTCTAAGAGACTTGAGAAGATCAGACTGTTCTCTATTTGGGTTTGTCTCAAGTTGATTTGGAAGCAAAGTTATTCACAACATTGTCTCATTATCCCAAAATAAAGTGAAACTAGACGCAACGACTTTGGCTTTTTTTTTTTTCTTTCTTTTTGTTGGTTTCTTGTAATTCGGGTCAACATAGGTTTTGGGTTTGAAGAAGAGGAAGGATTTAGAAGACAATGTAAAACTCTCATATGAAGAATATATTCGTGTATTGTTAAATGCTTGGATTTTCAGCAAACTTTCCCGCTATTTCTTCGTGGGTAACAGACAAAAATGACTCACACAAACATTGGTCGGTACATCTGAATATTTGTGGACAGAGATTAAAAGGGTTTGGTTCTTCTAAAAGTATATCACTTACACATTTGGGGCCCATATTTGTCAAAAGGAGATATCGAAGGAACGGTGAAGTTTGTACCTTGACATATCCAAATATCCATCCATATAATATACCTAAAGCTCCTAACTAACAAGAGACGAAAGCTACGTTGTCATCATAAAAATGACAAAACAAGTGGAACCCACACGTACTTTCGGATATCCCCAGGGAGATTTTTTTACGCTACAAGAATAAAGCATATTCGGATTCCAAATATACATACATGGGTTTCATTAATTTATGCGCTAAAATCGTGGAATCACACAATTTTGCAATGTTATTGGGTCAAATAGTTAAAATCATGTTTATGTGCCAAAATTTTTTTTTTGAGCAAAAACCGTAAAACAAGAATAAGAAACGGTGGCGTGTATTTAGTGCTGGTAATCTCCAAACTCTTGGAAGATGACATATTGGACTTGCGGATTATCCTTTCTTGTTTGCGAAACAGAGGTCACAATGTTTTCTTGGCACTGACTGCTGAACAAATCCCACCACCAAAGCCATCTGTTCCGTTACTGTCTTGGGAAGACCTTGTTGAAGCTACTAAATCAAACGTGGGCTGCAAGCAAAGGAGAAATGAAGTGGGCCTGAGCAAAGGGAAGAAGAAGCCCACTGCAATTCCTTACAAATCTACAACGGCTCTCTCGCTTCACAACAAGTTTGAACTTCTAGAATCCTGTGCGGAGATGTGCACATAACTAAAGATATACTGTTTTTGTTTGGTGTTGCAAGTATTAATTACCTCTGATTTCGATGTTCTTGACTCTGTGTGAAAAAAAACCCACATCATCACCACACAATAGAGAGTGGATAAAAAAGAAATATTAGTTGATGGGCTATAGGCCCGGTAAATCACAGCAATATCCAGTGGACTTAAATTTTATAGGCCCAATAAAATACTCTCTAATTTGTAGCTCGCACGCACGAGTCAAAGCCTCCACAGTATATGTAAACGTGTCAAAATTACTGTTTTCCGTGGACCATCTCTGAGCTGATCTTGATTGACGGCGAACAGAGTTCAGTCATTCAACAACCCCCTCTCACCAAACCATTCCCTCTTCTTTGCCACCAACTCCAATTTTGTTTACAAAATGAAACATTTAGCAAACGAATTATATAACTAAAGACATTTTAATTAAATATTTTGAAATTTTAATTAAATTTATCGTTAAATTTCGGAAGGCAAAGTGGTAGGTAAAGTAGAGAGATATCATCATCTATTTCACCAAAAACCCACCACCACCACCATCGCACTTTCTCAAACACTCCCATTTCCTCAGGCTTGGATCGAAATACTAGAGCCAATGGCACAGGCTAGTCGAATCTGCCATGGCGTGCAAAACCCACGTCTCATCTCCAATTTCTTTTCATCTCACCAACACAAATCGCCATTCTCGGTCTCGATGAAGACGCAGCAACAGCTCGGAACTTACCGGAGTTCGTCGTCCGGCTTGAAGAAGACAGGAACTACGATTCGTCCAGTTCGAATCACGGCTTCCTCCGTTTCCACTGCGCCGTCAGAGATCGTTCTTCAGCCCATTAAAGAAATCTCGGGACTTGTTAAGCTGCCCGGCTCCAAATCCCTCTCCAATCGGATTTTGCTTCTCGCTGCCCTTTCCGAGGTATTACTTCAAATCTCGTTCCTTTAATCAAAAAACTGTTTAAATTCGCAAAAGTCTGTAACTTTTTGTTCGATCTCAATGTTAATTTTGCTTTTCTGCTTTTTTTTTTGAATTGGTACTGAAGATGCTTCTCTTTTGCCTCTGCTTTACAGGGAACAACTGTGGTGGACAATTTGTTGAACAGTGACGACATTACTTACATGCTTGGTGCGTTGAAGCAATTAGGGCTAAATGTGGAACACGACAGTGTAAACAATCGAGCAATAGTCGAAGGATGTAGCGGAGTGTTCCCAGCTTCTAAAGACTCTAATGGCGCCATTGAACTTTTCCTAGGAAATGCTGGAACAGCAATGCGTCCACTCACAGCTGCAGTTGCCGCTGCAGGTGGAAACGCAAGGTTTGGATCAAAACAAGTTTCGATTTTTTTTTTGTTCAGAATCCTTTTGACCATTGTGTTTTAGTATCTTACTACTTTTGGATTTCGTTTGTTTCAGTTATGTGCTTGATGGGGTGCCTCGAATGAGAGAGAGACCTATAGGAGACTTGGTTATCGGTCTTAAGCAGCTTGGTGCAGATGTTGAATGCACGTTAGGTACTAGTTGTCCTCCTGTTCGAGTTAACGCCAATGGTGGACTTCCCGGTGGAAAGGTTTGTGACCTGAACATTAGATATGTCATGTTTCTTTATGTCTGCTTCAGAGTTTTTGACATGGTTGTGTATATTGCAGGTGAAGCTTTCTGGATCCATCAGTAGTCAATACTTAACAGCTCTACTCATGTCAGCTCCTTTAGCACTTGGAGACGTAGAGATTGAGATCGTTGATAAGTTGATTTCGGTTCCATATGTTGAAATGACACTGAAGTTGATGGAGCGTTTTGGTGTTAAAGCCGAGCATAGTGAAACCTGGGATCGTTTCTTCATCAAGGGAGGTCAAAAATACAAGTAATAATCCTTTCTCTGTTTTATCATTAGTATATCCTTCGTTTCTTGATCTGATTGCGTACATAGAAGAGGAATAGTGAAATGATAATATGATTCAGGTCACCTGGTAACGCATATGTAGAAGGGGATGCTTCTAGCGCTAGTTATTTCTTAGCTGGTGCGGCCATTACCGGTGAAACAATGACTGTTGAAGGTTGCGGAACAAGCAGCTTGCAGGTAAACGTGAAGTAACATGATTTGAGTTGGACTATATAATTTGTGAAGATTTCTCACCGAGTTGGATTCCTTTTTTTTTGTGATATCTCAATCAAGGGAGACGTGAAATTCGCGGAGGTTCTTGAGAAAATGGGGTGTGAAGTCACTTGGACAGAGAACAGTGTGACTGTTACAGGACCATCAAGAGACGATTTTGGGATGAGACATCTTCGTGCGGTTGATGTGAACATGAACAAAATGCCTGATGTTGCTATGACTCTTGCCGTTGTGGCTCTCTTTGCTGATGGTCCAACTGCCATTAGAGATGGTTAAAGGCTCTCGCTTGATCTTCTTTTCTTTTTATTTGTAATGATTTAGTTTTGAGATTGGTTGTCACTTATTTATATGTTTCTGCTCGTATATACAGTGGCTAGCTGGAGAGTGAAGGAGACAGAAAGAATGATAGCCATTTGCACAGAACTTAGAAAGGTAAAAAGCAGCTTCTTCTCTTTGATTCTACTCTGTTTTTTCAACTGTTGTTAAAAACCTTCCCTCTCTGTTTTCTGAATGCAATTTGTATTTTTATTTGTATTTGTAGCTGGGAGCTATTGTTGAGGAAGGAGCAGACTATTGTGTGATAACACCACCAGAGAAACTGAAAACAGCTGAGATTGATACATACGATGATCATCGGATGGCAATGGCGTTCTCTCTAGCAGCATGCGCAGATGTTCCGGTCACAATCAAAGATCCTTCTTGCACCAGAAAAACTTTCCCTGACTACTTTGAAGTCCTTGAGAGAGTCACAGAGCACTAAAAAATTACATGTCTTTTTCTTATTTCGTCTATGTTTCCCTTTGTAACATTATCAAAACGTACTTTGTAACCTCGAGGGAAATGCAATCCCCGTAATCCGGTTTTGGGTATGCAATTCGAGAACATGTTTTTGGATTGGATTGGTTTGGTTTAGCTTCATTATGAATAAAGGACCGAATCCTGAAGGAGTTTGAGTTGAAAATATATTTTCTTGAAGGCATTTCATCAGAAGAACTCTATGCTTTTAAACCACAAGAATGCTTGCTGTAGCAGACTCGCTGCAAAAGCAATAGCAAGAACTGAGATCAGTTCAAGAATAAGAAATGATAGTCGAGACCTTTTAAGCAAAGTCTCGAGTCTCTAAGTGGGTTCTGTTCTCTACAAGAAAATAACCTAAACTTGGAATCTTTGTCTTTCCTGTTCCTCCTCTCTATTAGAATGCTCGTAACTACTACTAATTCCATACCAATATATCACATAATTCTAACAAATGAAAATCATCCCCTAAAGTAACTTTCAGTGACAAAGTTGGTGAATTTTAAAAACGAATTATCATATCAAGAATTTGTGAGTATAATCACATCAACACCACCTAAATTCCAACACTTCAACCTGAATGTTAATGATTTGATTTCCTCATCTTAGCACAACCCAAATTAATTTATTGAAAACCATATTAAATTAAGGGCACGAAAAATAGCGTATTTAAGGAAACGAAGTAATTAAGAAACTAATGAAATTAAGGTCCACACCATATAATTCAAATATATGCATTTATACTGTCTTAGCAGCAGTCCTGGTCCCATCCATGAGTGTGTTCATCAGAGTTGTAGATTCTCTTCGATGTCGAAGGGAATGTTTATGTTATATCTCACGCTATTATTTTAATTTTAATTAAAAGTTAAATAACAAACCCGTTTTTTTTTTTTTTTTTTTAATAACAAACCCGTTGCTTATCAATATCATACAGAGATTTTAATCAAGTAACATAAAGCACCACAAAAGACTTGTTTTCGGTCTATGGTGTTGCATGCCTCCGTTCTTGTATTAACGTAAACTTCTGTTGTAATTTTTGCTGCCTTGTTTTTATTTCTTTTTGCCGAGGTAACAAATTATAGGAAAAGCTCTTGTAATTCCTAAAACTTCATTTCTTAATGATATTTTACATTTTAGCAAAAAAAATTTTTTGGAACATACATAAGATGAGGCTTAAAATTTTCATTCGAAAAAAATTTGAGGCGTAGCCACAGAGGCCAAGTCCTGTAACATTCTATATCTCTCCCCAACATCATCACGGGTGGAATCTGCTGGAGAGAAAACTGCTGTCTTCAAACGAGTAGCGTGGGCCACAAGGTATGTGGCAATCTCTCTATCTCCTCGTCTCCCGTTGTAACCGTCCCACTCGAAATCTTCAAGACTGTACGAGAAACAGTTGGGAACAGAAATGGGTGGCTTCCAGCAATCCGGAGTTTCTATACTAGGAAAATCAAGCTCATGTTCCTAAGACCAATTACCAATAGCAACAACACAGTTAACATCATTATCGGGAAACTTATAGGGTAAGCAAGAAACAAGCATAATAAAAGCAAACCACTTACATCAGTGAGTATGAGATATTTTAGCTTGGGAGAATTTTGGAGCATATGAGTGAGAAGATTCCACCAACCTTGAGCACATGTACTCAGTTCCAGAAGAACGAGGTTGTGAAAGATCATGCCACAAGGAGACAGAACCTGTACACGGCAACAACAACATGTAAAGGAGTGACGAAAAAAACATTCGAAATTTAACATGTGCTAAGTTAATATGGGTGGTGGTACCTCTGAAAATGATAAACATAGATGAAGCGTGCGGACACAAGTAAAAGCTTTCAGAAACTTGTGGTTAGCTCCACAAGTCATGTCAACATACGCCTGTTCTAACTGGGGCATATACTCAATTCGATGAAAGTCGTAAAGGACATCATCTTTAATGCAAAGTCTCACGAGAGAAGGAGCATCTATCACAAACCCGCTACCCTTTGGGGCTATTCCCTCATTGGTCATCTTCAATCTCAGTAGAGAAGGCAGCGCAAGAGCCACGTCCAGGTTATCTTGTTTCACAGCAAGAGTCTCAAGTTTAGGACAACCGGATAAGAGCCTTTGAAGAGACCCTATGTCCACATCCTTAAGTTCCATAATTTTCAGCGACGGGAGACGAACAGAAAAAGGAACATCCAAACGAATGCAATTCCAGAGTATCAAGGTTTCTAGGGTTTCACATGTATACATGCTACTCGGCAAACTGATGGGCCCTTTCTCAGAAGAAAGGATATCAACTGTAAGCGCACGCACACGGTGAGCAACTGCAGTGTCAATCCATATTCCAATATCTACGGCTTGACACTTGTGACCTAGCTTGAGATACAAGCTCTCTAGGACCGGTGCCTTATTTGACATCAAAGACCTGTAAACAAAGTGCGTGAAGGTCGCGTAGTTATCATCACCGTGACTGCTATCATCATACTCAAGTTTTGGCACTAAACTCCAAAGAAACTGCCATCTTTTCGACAAACGACTTGTGGCCAGGGCATGGCTTGTCGGGACAAGCGACAGTATTCGGATGAGCAAGTCATCTGAAAATTGACTGATGATGTCCATGTGAAACACTGTCAATGGGTTTTAACCGTCAAAAACAAAGATAAGAAAGGATACGTTTACGATGCAGACGAGAGAACTTGTAAAGCCGAGGCTGATACAAATAAACAAAACAGAAACTTGCATGGAGATGCGTTTAGTACCCTGTTTCTCAAGCTCGGGAAATTCATGTGCTATATAGTTTTCGTCGGTTCGAAGCTCTAATCCAATGCTTTACCGAGTTTCGTTTTATGCATCAGTTTTCCTTTTCTCGAATTTTCCATTTTAACAACTTGTATATACAATATGTTGGGTATTTGTGATTCAAGGCCAAGTTTGGGCTAAAGATTTATGAGACCAATCATCAAATATAAGTTTCAGTGCAACCAAAAGAGATACAAAATCCAAAATTGCTTGCGGACGGTGGATTGTATAAGTTAACTGTTGGTTTAATTAGGAAATATTTGGGCCTCACGGCTTTCAAATACGGGCCTAAGCATTTAACAACGGAAATGTTTGGGCCTCACATCTTTCAAATACGGGCCTAAGCATTTAACAAAGGAGGTAATTATAGCTTTCAAAAACGGGCATGGGCATTTAACATAGGAGGCAATTATAGCCCATAAGCATAGCTGAGATTTAAAAAGCAATTTGTAGATGATTGTAAACTTTAATTTCAGAAGTTTGAAAGTTATGCAATAGAAGAAGTATGAGAAGGACAAATGAAAAATCAGAATGATTAACATAAAACAAGACTGTAATCCCTAAATTCAAAATCTCACTGAAATTTGTAACCCATCAAAAACTAACGAAAACAGATGTAGAGGTCCAAATGCTGCCCAATGAAATGGCCGTTCTTGAAGGACTTTTGACCAAATCTCCATGCTTCTTAAGCCACAAGAGTGCTGGCTGTAGTAGACTCGCTGCAAGAGCAACAACAATAAGATATGAGAACAAAACTAATAGCAAGACGATGGAGAAACTCTTTTCAATGTTTTAACTACTTACTACTTCCAGACGGGAGGGAGCTTCTTGGTCTTCTTGTAGTAACGAGCAAGGCGGTGGATTCTGCTCTCTACAAGAATCAACCTAAATTTGGAATCCTTGTCTTTCCTGTTCCTCTCAAGATGCTTGCGGATAGCAACTGCTTTCTTGATCAGGTGGTACAGATCCTCAGGGATCTCAGGAGCAAGACCTTTAGGAAATTTACAAACAACTCTTAGTTTCTTTGAATGTTAAGTTTAGCAAACAGATTCTAAACAAGATTATAGAGGAATTGAAAAGTACCATGAGCTTTCAAAATTCTCAAAATCTTGTTTCCCGTAACACTCTTCACTTGTGGGATTCCGTGAGAGTCACGAAGAATAACACCAATCTGAGATGGAGTCAAACCCTTCTTGGCAAACTTGCAAATAGACTCATCAACCTATTGTGCATCAAAACATACGTTAGGACTAATCACAGTATCCACATTTCCATTTCAAAACAGTATATCAAGTAACCACAAGAAACGATCATCTATTACGTTATGTTCCTAACGCAAACTCATCAACCTATTGTGCATCAAAACAAACTTACGCCATAGATAATCTACTCATCAAGAGATTATAAAATCCTTCAAAGGAACTATCACATTATGCTCGAAACTTCACAATAAATCTCTCCAACGATTATCACGGAACGTCCACGAATAAACGAGATTCTTCAAAATTACATTTCTTCTACTAAACACGTCCTAAATGCAGATGATTCCAATCATCTAAAGCTCTTATCCTAAACTAGGATTATGCATATGCTTAAACTTCCGAGAGGTGGCAGCATAACATTTCAAACAAATCGAAATATGAAAACAAACGAATCTTACATCCTGGGCGGTTGTCTTGAGCCAGCTCGGGGGTGACCGCTTATACGGCAAAGCAGATGCTGAGATTCCCTTACTACAGAACACAAAACAGTTAAATAAGAATATAAGAGAACCATTTTTTCAAACAGTACTCAATCGAATACGAGGAAGAACAAGCAGACAAACCCTTTACTATGAAGACGACCCATAACGACGACGATAACCGGAGCTTCCTTTCTCTAAGATAGTTCTTCCTCGGTTTACGCCGGCTGCGACTGCGCTAAAGGAAGCCAAAAACCCTAGTTGCTCTTTGTTTATATAGTCTCTTTAGATCGTGCCACATCTCATTTTACTTCCACGAGCCCTCACAGGCCTTATTTTTAACAGGCCCAAATAAAAAGAAAATTGCTGCAATAAATGGAGGAATTGAGGCCCATTGATAAACAACCCCACGTAAACGACGCCGTTGGAAGAATTACAGTTGATGATATTAATATCAGTCAATTACAGAGTTAATAATGATGATGAATGTTTTGATTGGAAGAAACATGCTCAATAAAAAAGAGTACAAAAGATCTTAATGAAGTTTGAAATAATAAGGGAATGTAAATAAATAATATTTACCATTTACCGACACTGAAAAAAAAGCGAACATACGAAAAAAAAATGAAGTGAATAAATGGATAGAAGACAATTTTATGACCGACTGAATTAAATACATGTCTGAATTAAGCAAAAAATTTTTGATGGGTTTGAATGTGGCAGAGAAAGAATATACATATAGGAATAAACAAAATTAGATTTAAATGTTTAGTAAAATACAATTTTAAAATTATTGCTAAAATTATTGAATGATATCCACGTTAATTTGTTTTATTTGTAAATTATAAACTATAAAATCTATACTTATCTAAGAATATTCTCTCTATTATTGATTTAAACCAAAATTTGATGTCATCGTCCGGAATACAACAGTCATGCAAGATTTGACTTTGAAATTTGATTCATTTTTTTAAAAAAGTATGGTGTTCCTAAACCCTAAACCCTAACCCTGAAACCCCCTAACCCTGAAACCACCGTACCTCTTCGTCGACAGTCCTAAAACTTTAATTTTTTTGGCGTTTGAAAACTTTATAGCTCTCAAAACTAGCGAAATGAGCTTGAGATCTTGTTCAAGGTACATTCATGTCATGGTTAAATTCTAATTAATTGTATAAAATTCGATAACTTCTTTCTCACGTTTATTTATCATATTTACCTTTTAGAACAACAAAGCTGGGAAAGAAGGTGAATGTTCCTACTCACGGAAGAGCACATGAAAAATTGTGGGAGGAAAAGAAGGTGAATGTTGTGCTTTGTTTCTCTTACTATAAGCATCATAGTTTCTTTTATGTTTGTGTTGCAGATGATTGTTTCTTCTTTCATTGCATCAAGAAGTGTCTTGTGACTCTTGGAACTGCAGGTGTCTCTCTTTCTTCTTTTAATTTGTCAGATGTTTCCTTTTCAATAATGATAAAAAGTAAATCAGAATGTCTTCTATTGTATAAATGCAAAACTACCTTATAAGAACAACTATCGGTTTGCTACGACCAAAGGGCTCATAAAGGGAATTCCAGTTGCTATGGAAATACATTTTGGTTCTTCAGTGCATGATGTAGTCGTGCTAGTGTATCTTGCTAATTTCTGAGAAGTCTGTGTCTCTGTTTTAGTGTTTTTATGTACATCTTTAGTTTGAGGATGTCGTTATTATAAATATCTCGGATATGTCGTTATTATAAATAGCTCTTATAACATGTAGGTGACCCAAAAAAACTGACTGAAGGTATGACAACTCATGAAGGACAAAAGGAAAAACATGCTCAAATGCACCACTCTAGCCACTAGTATGAAATATAACCAGTACTTAGTGATTCCTTTTCGAGATAAAGTTGGAGTTTAGTCATAATTGACTTGTACTTTTAAGACCTCATTGATTTTAGACATGTACAAGTAACTTTACAATCTCAGCCACGGAGCATATCAATGTCACCATTACTAAAGATAAAAGTTGTCCTCATCAATATAATAAAGTTCCAGTCGTATCTTCAGGGCTGTCATTGCTTCCTCCAATCTCTTAATGGCAACCTTCTCCCACAACACGGCGAGCATATCGTCTTGCGAACTGGGAGGGTCCTCACTGTCACCACATCTTACCTCCGGGGTTCTCTTCTGAATCTGCAGCGAATATGTAAAGATGTAACTTTATAAACAACTAATTTATCAATTCCGAGACATGTATCCTAACAATGGAGGCTCCTCACTATCCGCCGTAAAGGTTCTCACGAGCATCTAATTTGATAACAACTAATTTATCAATTCCAGAGTGGTTCTTTAGTAACAAATGTAGAGGCAATTAACGATAGGCAAAAAGAAGATTTCACCAAATCTAATGATCAGGATTTTGTAGATTTAGTGTACTTACAACAAAGAAGACTTCAGAGAGAACAGAGAGAGAAGAGGGAGACTTTCATTTAGTAGAACCGATGGTGGTTTAACAAGAAACGGCGAATGGAGCGACGGAGGAACCGTAAATGTTTGCGGCAATGAAATAAAGAAAAGATTGAATCTTTTTTTTTTTTGGTTGTGTGTGCAAAGGTATTCAATTCTTTATATACAGGAGCTCAATTTTTTGGTTGATTTGGTTTGCGGCGGTGAAAGAGCTCAAATGGGCCTAATTTTACGGGGCTTTGGAGTGGCCCAAAACTTTTCTTAGCCTGTTTATTCATTCATCTACAGCGCTACTTTCGAGACTGTAGATTTTTAATTTCAAAGTTATTTTGTGTTCCAGTTTGGTTTTTCGTTTCCTGAATTCCTCATATTATCTCTAAGATCTGTGATCAAATTTTTAATCATCGCCGTTTTGCTCTAAATTCGTTTGATTCGCATTTCCATTAGCTTCTTTGCTTACTTAGTCTCTGAATCGTTTGTGAAGGAGAGGGAACATTGCGACATTTGGAGTCAAAGACTGATGCCTCAGGTGCTGCCGTGTTGGGATAAAAGAAGCTTATTATATTAAAAAGTAAGCCTTCTTCCTCTCCTTCTCTGTGCTATCATCAGATTTCGATATCTATGAGTTTTAAGTACTTTTCAGTTAGATTGGAACAGAGCATAAGCTTAGATTTGATTATTGGAATGGAGACTAGCTTAGATTTGATTATTGGAATGGAGACTATGTTACGACCAGATACTGGATTATGATAAAACTTGTTGTGTTCCCATATTTGGAAGCTTTTGGTTTTGATGATAAGATCAATTTCTTTGGCTTTTTTTTTTTTGGATCAAGACAAGAACCCTGGTGATCCTCAAGCTGCTAAAAGCTTTCAGGTAAATTAAGAGACAAAGTCGTCGTCTTTCCTTCAGTTTTATCATCATCTATATTTCTAGGTTCATAAGTGTGCTTCACAAGGGCTTTAACGAGTGTTTGAATAATTACTCTCAGTCACTTGAATCCTACACTGCTCATGTGAATGAAGGTACGAGGTGAAGCGTACCAGGTGCTCATGATAAGCAGTTTCTGTCAATTCAAAATTTTCGGTTTGTCCCTCACTAAAGGCCATTCCTGTCAATTTTAGAGATAGCCTCTAAGATGTTTATGCATCATTTAAGAATGTGATTGGTGTAAATGCTTAGTTGCTATTGATATATGTGGATTTGCTTTACTTTTTCTTTTTTTGTTTGCAATGGTTGATCCTGCAGCTGTATTTGGCATGCTCTTTGGTAGCGAGCTGTTTGATGGGCAACTTACTCTTGCTTCCATTGCATCACTCGACGCAGAATTAGAATCACATGAGCCTGAGATTAGAAGAAAGATGCTTCAAGACAAGATCAAAGTAGGTGTTTTCTTTCTCTTCAGCTGTTTTCTTAAGCCCTGATGTTTATGATTCCTGTGTGTATTCATGCCAACTGTGTGCAGGCGATGCAAAAGGCAAGGGAAGACAAGCTTGTCGCTACATTGAAAATCAAACTCGAACGTGGAAGGGCAAACCAATGAACTTGTAAATTGGTCTAACGCAGAGGCAAAGCGGCTCTCGACAGCTGAACTTGAGGTTTTTCCGCTCCTCCAGTTAATGAAAGGCCCAAACTTTTGTAATCAGAAAAACTGCATTTTTATTATCTTTGGGTACTGTCAGGTTTTGGTGAAGCAATGCTGCACACTGTGTGTTACATTTATTCTAAAAAACCTGCGAACGAACTAGGAAAGGACAAACGTCTCCTGAAAGTACCGTTATAAGCTGAATGGGTGCCAGCGTGACAAAGGCCACCAGGTGAAATCTCAAGTGATGGCTGCTTCTGGTAAAATGAATAAACAATGTTTAAAGTTGATTTTTTGGGTGCGGTTTCGTTACATGAGTTGAGCAAGCTGAATCAGGGAGAGGACAGAGAGGAGCATATTCAGAAAGCCATTTAAGCTATATAAGATGCATTGCTTCAATCCCTTTGGCAAATCAATGTGCTTGACATCGAATCAACCTTATCTCGTGTCTGCCAAGCGGTAAGATGATGACCAACCATTCCATTGTAATAACTAGATCTTGTTCTCTTTTGTTTATTCTCAGTTTCCTAAAAGATCCAAGTATTGTTTTAAAGGTTGTCTAGAGGATTGAGGAAGCTCGGAAACATTTTCCAGGTGAGTCATAAAACAAAAACACAAGTGGTCCTTCTCTAACATAACAGACTGCAGCTTTGGTACGCATGTTACAGGGTTCTAAGAAACCGTACTCGATGTGTCTCTAAATCACATAGGTACAATGAAGCTAAGAAGGGATTCCTTACGTTGTTAGTTCACAGGCTGGTCCAGCATCTGCCGCCGTGAAGGTTTAGGAGTGGCATCGCTGAAATTCTAGTGGTACAGGTGGAAGCTTCTCAAAATTTTAAGTTCCACTTTTATTGTATTCATTTTCTTGATTGTTAAAACAAGAAGAGACTGACAAGAAGAAGTGGAGAAATGTCAGAAGTCCATATTATAACCGACAAAATACATTGGAAAAAAATAAAAACACTTTCAAAGAGCAAACTATTGGAATAGAAAAGAGTAAGATTTGTTTTTATTTAAGGAAAATGTTTTAACCATTGGCTTCGAAAAGCAGATTTGTGAAATCTTTAAAAAGGCCAGTGATATTCTCTTAAAAAGGTTAAATGAAGTTGTGAAATCTCTTGGCTGATGTTAAAGTGTTGGATAGAAGCAAGCTTAGGGTGATTGTTCCTACGCCACCAGCAGCAACAGGTTTGATGGCTGATGCAACTTTGCAAACCTCCTCATAGCATATGTCTCCGACCACTCGATAGCCATGCAGAGCATCTGGATCCTGCAAATAGTATAAGAATGTCACACATATTGGTCTGCCTTATACTGTATACTACTAGCAAAAAAAAAGAGTTCACTTACCTTCAATAGACTAGTCCCAACATTGATGATGACTGCGCCTGGCTTTATCCAGCTTCCTCTGACCATGTTGGCTTGCCCAATAGCCGAGATTAAGATATCAGCTTGTCTTGTAATTTCTTCAGGGTTCTTGGTTGTTGAATCGATAATGGTAACAGTTGCATCCTCTCTCTACCGTTATACAAACAAAAACAAGGTGATTATCAGAGAAAAAAAAATGGCAATCATCTCTTTCACAAAGGTAATTATCATCATTTACCTGCAGTAACAGAGCAGCTGGCATATCGAATGTGTGATCCCTTCCGATAACAACTGCTCTCTTTCCTTTGATCTCAAGGTTGTAGCGGTGTAACAGCTCGATACACCCTTTAGGAGCACGCGGGACGAACAAGGGTTCTCTTCCGCGCATCGCAAGCCGTCCGATATTTACCGGGTGAAATCCGTCAACGTCTTTCTCTATACTAACCGCACTCAGTACCTTGTGCTCATCCATATGCTAACAAATATCTATCATGTTAAGTCATTTTCTAGTTATGAAAAAAGATCAAGGTAGAGTAATTAATACCCATGGTAGAGGGAAGTGAAGAAGGATTCCATGGACACGAGGATCATCGTTGAAGCGTGAGACACAATTCAACACCTCCTCTTCTGAGGAATCTTCAGCTAGACGAACTGGGAATGCTTTGATTCCAACTAAGCTACAAGTGAAGTCATAATCATTGTCGTAACGCTTTTTCTCCCCAACATGGATTACTGCTAATCCAGGAACCGCACCGATTGATTTCTTCATTCTTGAAACTTGTCTTCCGACCTCTAGCGAAATCTCTAGTGACACAGCTGGTTGATCAATTACCATGGCGGCACCAGCTGAACACAAAAAGGAAAATCTTATGACAAGGATAGTTGAATTTCGTGCTCATGTTAGGTCAAAAGGTTTAGTCTATGTATACAAGAGGAGCGAATGGAGAGAGTGCAGCCGCGGCCGGAATCAGTGGTTCGTAAGCAGAGCTGGCCCACGCACCGGCGGGGGAGGAAGGCGCCTTTAGGGCGGTTCGAATGCATGAGACGCGACGTCGTGGAGGAGGAACAATCGGTAAACATCAATGATGCCATTTTTTACTACTCCACTTAATTAGGGTTTAACAAAAAAGTTAAGTAGAATTGTTTCGAGACAAATAATCAAACCACACAAAGAAAAATGTATATTAACATCAGACAGAACCTGAAGAAGAAGCTAGGCGACGCTCAAGCTTTAAGATCTAAGCAAATTTTTTTTGATGGGTTTGAATGTGGCAGAGAAAGAATATACATATAGGAATAAACAAAATTAGATTTAAATGTTTAATAAAATAAATTAGGATTTACATGGCAAAAACAGAATAAATACTTCCCACTTTAGTTAGGATCTACACGTTTTTTTAAAGATTATAATAATTTTAAAATAATTACTAAAATTAAAAATAAACATTCTAAAATTCAATGATATCCACCTTAATTTTATTTTATTTGTAAATGATAAACTATAAAATCTATATACTTATCTAAGAATATTCTCTATTATTATTTTTAACCAAAATTTGATGTTACCGAAACCTCTCGGCTTCTACATCTCTTTCAAGTTTGCACACAGAAGTTCATAGGAGTAAAAATCAGCATTTAATTTTTTACACTCCATAGAGGAGAAATAATAAATGGGAGAAAATGAGAATGAAGGAAGGACACGTGATGATTGGGTTAAACAAATTGTCAACGCTAAGTCCATCCTTAAAGCCAAACCTCACCCATTTTCTTAACCTAACTGCCTAACCGTCTTTCCATCTTCACCTTCCTCCTTCATCAACTTCCCTTTATATATAAAACGTTTCTTCTCCCTAAAGAAAACACATTTAAGATTTCATCGAAAGAGAGAGAGAAATAAAAGAGAACAAAATACGATCATGAAGCTTGTCTGGTCGCCGGAAACAGCCTCTAACGCTTACATTCACACCGTTAGAACTGTAAGACTGCTCTAAATTAATCTTCAATTTCTGAATATTTTTTTCTTAGAATAACTTCTTGAATTTTTTTATGAATTAGAATTCGATGGTATTTCGATATTTCACTGTTGTTTGAAACGATATATTTTATACATGATTGTTGCTTAGACGTTCTTGATGTATATGAATTTAGAATCTTGATCTAATTTTTAATTTGTGTGTATATATATGTGCTTTTTGAAGTGTAAAAGCTACAAAGAATCGAGTGTGGCGGAGTATTTATCGGCTACGGCGGCGGGATGGAACACGAGGCTGATCGTCGAGACATGGACACGTGGAGACCCGATCGCCACCAGCGTTGGACTCGCCGTCGCGGCCATCCATACATGCGGAAGACACGTGTGCATAGTTCCCGACGAGGAGTCGAGATCGGAGTACGAGACTAAGATGAGAAGAGCCGTTGCGAGTGAAGCGACAGAGGTAATGGTCGAAGAATCGGCGGGGGACGTGGTGGAGAGACTCTCCGGCGTGGATTTCATGGTGGTGGACTCGAAACGCCGCGAGTTCGTTAAGGTGTTGGGATTAGCGAACACGAGCAAAATGGGTGCCGTTTTAGTGTGCAAAAACGCCACGCACAAATCAATCCTTGGATTTAAATGGCACGGTGTTTTGAGAAGAGGCACACGTGTCATGCGATCGGTGTTTTTACCAGTTGGGAGAGGGTTAGATATTGCACACGTGGGAGCTAGTGGTGATTTGAAGAAGCTTCCCAGCCGTTGGATTAAACACATCGATCTTCAATCTGGAGAGAAGCATTTGTTTAAGCGTTAATAATATAAACAATTTGGGTAATTAGCCCAAAAAAGGAGAAGATTTTTAAATTCATTTTTAATGTTGTAAACAAAAACATTGTGATGGAATTGATTTTTTCTAATAGTATGACGGAAAATTTCTTTATAAATTTATTATTATTTTTATTTTTTTTTTCAAACTTTGAAATAGTAATTTTTATTTTTTCAGTCAAACTTTGAAAATAGTTAAATTTTTTAAAATTTAAAGTTTAGATATCTTTTTATGGAATTATTCTTAAAAGGAAAATATAAAATTATAATAAACTTTTAAAAATGTCACACATCATCTCTCTTATCTAATATTAATGTCTGATATGTATGTTTTATAAAAAAAAACAAAATAATTTATTATTATGCAAACTAAAACAATACATACTAATCTACTTTTATAAAATTATATATATTTTTAAAAAAGGAAACACATTAAAAATAAAATTCAAAGATTAAAAGATTAAAAGGAAATAAATTAAATTAGTCAAAATAAATAAAATTAATAAAAATACTTAAATATCAATTATCAATTCTTCTATACATATCTTATCATAAATATCATTATCATTTTCAGATCTCCCTCTTTTTCAACCTTAAATTCAGCTTTTTCTCTTTTACTTAGGTTTCTCTTTTGCTCTTCTGACACAATGACCATAGTGACGTGTTCATTATCATTATCATCACTTAAGGCAAGACGCAAAAAATTTCAATATCGTATCATTAACAATAATGATAGGATAAGCAAACTTCCAGACGAACTACTGCATGACATCCTCTCGAGATTATCCACTAAAGAAGCGGTGAGGACAAGTCTTGTATCGCCATGATGGGTGGATTTGTGGAGATGGAGGCCTCATCTCATCTTGGATATGAGAAATGTCTTAAATAAAACCCACACCAATGATATACACAAAGTTTCTATTCGTTTGACTAATTCAATGACCAATGTTTGTTAATTAATTTTTTAACTTATTAATTTTTTTTAGGATTTCATTTTAATCGTTTTATGTATGGAAATTCTGTATATAAGAAATTTCACAAATGGGTCAGTTTATAACCTGATGCTTAGATAGATGAAACATGAAAGTAGTTTTGGATCTGTGAATCAAATATTATATCCTTTAGATACATTATCTAATATTTTTGAAATTTTAGGATTAAATCATGAAAATACGTGCTAAAATTATAAATTATGATCTATATAATTAGATGATGGTATTGCATGTTAGTAATGACTTGTGACTTATGATCAATAGATTTGAAGTTAGATATCTAAAGAACCATAGTGAATGAGAATCTAGAAAGAAATAATATTATGTGTTGCGTGTACTCCACATAGAGCACATACTAACAAATTTAAATTTTGTTGATATTTGGTATATATATATATATTCCTAAAAGATTATATATAGGTTTTGATTGACAAGTTTTTTCAATCTCTAATCATTTTATGTTCTGCAGACTCTAAAGAACCACCGTGGCCCCCTAGAGAGCTGCATTATCCACCATTACTTATCCCAATGCAAAAATGGTACACTCGATAGTTGGATCAACATAGCAACTCGTATGAAAGACACTAAAGATCTCACACTTGTAAACCACAGCTATCATGGAATCAATGAACGTTACCAAGCAAAAATTTTGCTCCGCTTGCGCCAAGATGCATTTTCGCATCATAGCCTCACTTCACTGTCACTTTGTAGATTCAGTTTATCAGGTCCACGTGCCTTCAGAAATTGCTCGAATCTCAAGACCCTCAAGCTTGTAAACTCTTTCATCACCCAGGGCACTGTCCTTACCAATGTTTTAGCAGCTTGCCCCTCCCTCGAGGTGATTGTGTTGCGAGTCAGTTCCCTAACCCAAGGTGATGTGCTGAAGATCGAGAACAACAATTTGAAGTTCTTGCAAGTGAGTTACGCTTATGAGATTGAAAAGATCGAAGTGTATGCAGCTTGTCTAGATGTTCTCGACCTCAAGGTTATCAAACGTGAGGAAGAAGACTTCATCCTTGCTGCCCCCAACATCCGCCAGTTTAAGAGAGATTACTGGGTTTGTTCTTCTTATGCTCACCTCAGCTACAATGTCTCATATCTCGCTCAGGTACACGCTTACTTAACACAAACAATGTGCATATTTAGAAAAATAATTTTATATAAATAGTTTGACATACGTATATGAATCATAGGGGAAGAAAAACATATGGCATGCGCTTATGGTGAGCGAGAGCGACTTTATTCATATGTCTCGGCGCGGATCTTTCTCAGTGAGTTTAGATGTAACTAATTCGAAAGAAGTGGAGATACTGAAGGAAGTTTTGCTTATGTGGAACACTAGGGAAATGACAGAGCTTGAGAACTTGTTCAAGGTACATTCCTGTCATGGGTTTATTCTAATTAGTTGTATAAATTTTGGTAACTTCCCTCTCACGTTTATTTATCATATTTGCCTTTTAGAACAACAATGCTACTAATGGGAGAGCACACGAAAAATTGTGGGAGGATGCAAAACCGTTCCCTAATGCCGTCTTCTGCGTTTCTGTTGTGCGGATGTATAATTTCGACGGTTCGAATGAGGAAGAAGTTGCGTTAGCTTCCCATTTTGTGATGCAAAAGACGGTGACTAAGAAGATGATGATCGAGATTTCCTCGTCTCCACAAGAGAAGAAGATAGAGGTGGAAGCAGTTGTGGCCAAGCTAATGCAACTTCCTAAGGGTAACGAAGATCTTAGTATCGAATGCTTTTGATCAAAACTTGGTTCCAGTCTATCCATATTGCTCAGTATCAACTATTTATATGGTTTTGAATTTTCGGTTACTGTTTCTCGTACTTGTTTTGTGTTTTATCGTTTGAGAGATTATGTGACAAAAAGATCTTGACTCTTGATGTTTGAGATTTTCTTTGCTTTGAATATGGATATTATCTGATTTGTTGTTATTGCGTTCTTGTTTTGGTTAATGCTTTGTCGAAAGGGATATGTTTATAAACTTACTATGGAGAAAAGGATGATTCTATAACGTGAATGATTGACAAAAAAAAACAAGAACTGATGTTTCAACTTCAAGTCTTCAACATATACACATTCACGACTATTTAACCCACACGACACATGAAAGATTTCCTTTTCTAACGGCAGGCACATAAAAGTTCCTAGTAAAAAAATTAAATCTTTTACACTCCATAGAATCTAAACGCTATTAAAAACAAAGTCGAAGATCCCAAAACGATCAAGTAATAAATGGGAGAAGAAGAGAATGAAGGATACGTGATGATTGAGTTAAACAAATGTCAACGCTAAGTCCATCCTTAAGGCCAAACCTCACCCATTTATTAACCTAACTGCCTAACCGTCATGTCATCACCTTCCTCCATCATCAACTTCCCTTTGTGTGTAAACATTTCTTTTCCCTAAAGAAAACAAAATACGATCATGAAGCTCGTCTGGTCGCCGGAAACAGCCTCTAACACTTACATCCACACCGTTAGAGCTGTAAGAATACTACTCTGCATCAGTGATGCATATTTGTTTGTTATGCCATCTTCAGTTTCTGAATTATCTTTACTTTGAATAACTTACTGTATTTTTCATATGAAATAAATCGATGGTTAAATACGATCATGAAGGTCGTCTGGTTTTGCTGGTCTCTTGATGGGGCTTTGAATTTTTTTATGAAATAAATCGATGGTTAAAACGATATTTCATGGTTGCTTGAAACGATCTTTTAGTATGAAACAAGTGATTGTTGTTTGTTTAGACGTTCTTGATGTATGGGAATTAAGAATCTTGATCTAACTTTTAATTTGTGTATATAACTTCTTGAAGTGTAAAAGCTACAAAGAATCGAGTGTGGCTGAATATTTATCGGCTACAGCGGCGGGATGGAACATGAGGCTGATCGTAGAGGCTTGGACACGAGGAGATCCGATCGCCACCAGCGTCGGACTCGCCGTCGCGGCCATCCATACGTGCGGAAGACACGTGTGCATAGTTCCCGGCGAGGAGTCGATAACGGAGTACGAGAATGTGATGAAAAGAGCTCTTGCGAGTGAAGCGACGGAGGTAGTGGTTGGAGAATCGGCGGAGGATGTGGTGGAGAGACTTTCCGGCGTGGATTTCATGGTGGTGGACTCGAAACGCCGCGAGTTCGTTAAAGCGTTGGGATTAGCGAACACGAGAGCAATGGCTGCCATTTTGGTGTGCAAAAACGCCACCCATAAATCTATCCTTGGAATTAAACGGCACGGTGTTTTGTGAAGAGGCACACGTGTCGTGCGCTCGGTGTTTTTACCCGTTGGGAGACGGTTAGATATTGCACACGTGGGAGCCAATGGTGATTTGAAGCAGCTTCCTAGCCGTTGAATTAAACACATCGATCATCGATCTGGAGAGAAGCATTTGTTCAAGCGTTAATAATATAAACAATTTGGGTAATTAGCCCAAAAAAGAAGAAAATTTTTAAATTCCTTAAGCAAAAACATTGTGATGGGATTGATCTTTTTTTAATAGTATTTCGGAAAGTTTCTTTATCACTTAATTATTTTTTTTTATTTTTTTGTCAAACTTTGAAAATAACTTTAGATATCATTTTATGAAATTATTTTTGAAAGGAAAACATAAAATTATAAGCTTTTAAAAATATCACACATCATCTCCCTCATCTACTATTAATTTCTGATATGTATGTGTGATAAAAAATTATTTTTTTAATTATTTTGTAAATTAAAACAATACATACTTTGCAATAAAAAATATTTTTATTATAAATTTATTTATATATATATTTTTAAAAAAGGAAATGCATTAAAATAGAATTCAAAGATTAAAAGATTAAAAGGAAATAAAATTAATAAAAATACTTAAATATCAATTATCAATTCTTCCATACATATTTTATCATAAACATCATTATCATTTTCAGATCTCTCCCTTTCTCAATCTTAAGTTCAGTTTTTTCTCTCTTGCTTAAGTTTCTCTTTTGATTTTCTGACAAAATGACCATAGTGACGCGTTTATTATCATTATCATCACTTGAGGCAAGACGCAAAAAGTTTCAATATCGTATCATTAACAATGATGATAGGATAAGCAAACTTCCAGACGAACTACTGCATGACATCCTCTCGAGATTGTCCACTAAAGAAGCGGTGATGACAAGTCTTGTATCACCGCGATGGGTGGATTTATGGAGATGGAGACCTCATCTCATCTTGGATATGAGAAAGGTCTTAAATAAGACTCATATCAACGATATACACAAAGTTTCTATCCGTTTGGCCAATTCAATGACTAAGGTTTGGTTAATTTATTTATTTTCATCATTTTTTTAGGGTTTCTGTATATATGTATAGAAATTCTGTATATAATAAAATTTTACAAATATGTCAGTTTATAAACTGATGATTGGATAGATGAATCATGAAAGTAGTTTTAGATCTATGAATCAGATATTATACCCCTTAGATATATTATCTAATGTTTTTAAAATTTTAAGATTAAATAATGAGAATTTGTGCTAAAATTATAAATTATAATCTATAAAATTAGATGATGTTATTGCATGTTAGAAATGACTGTGACTTATGATCAATAGATTTGAAGGTAGATAACTAAAGAACAATAGTGAATGAGAATATAGAAAGAATAAATGATATGTGTTGCGTGTACTCCACATAGAGCACATACTAACAAAATTTAACTTTTGTTGATATTTGGTATATATATATTTCTTAATGATTATATATAGGTTTTCATTGACAAATTTTTTTCAGTTTCTAATCATTTTGTGTTCTGCAGACTCTTAAGAATCACGGTGGCCCCCTAGAGAGCTGCATTATCCACCATTACTTATCCCAATGCGAAAATGGTACGCTCAAAAGTTGGATCAACATAGCGACTCGTATGAAAGACACTAAAAATCTCACACTTGTAAACCATAACTATCATGGGATTGATGAACGTTACCAAGCAAAGACTTTGCTCCGCTTGCGCCGAGATGCATTTTCGCATCATAGCCTCACTTCACTGTCACTTTGTGGATTCAGTCTATCAGGTCCACGTGCCTTCAGAAATTGCTCGAATCTCAAGACCCTCAAGCTTTTAGACAGTGTCATCACCCAGGCTACTCTCCTTACCAATGTTTTAGCAGCTTGCCCCTCCCTCGAGGTGATTGTGTTGCGAGTCACTTCCCTAACCCATGGTGATGTGCTGAAGATCGAGAACAACAATTTGAAGGTCTTGCAAGTGGCTTACGCATATGAGATTGAAAATATCGAAGTGTATGCAGCTTGTCTAGATGTTCTTGACCTCAAGTTTATCGAATGTGAGGAAGAGAACTTCATCCTTGCTGCCCCCAACATCCGCCAGTTTAAGAGAGATTACTGGGTTTGTTCTTCTGATGCTCACCTCAGCTACAATGTGTCATATCTCGCTCAGGTACACGCTTACTTAACACAAACAATGTGCGTATTTAGAAAAATAATTTTATATAAATAGTTTGACTTACGTATATGAATATCGTAGGAGAAGAAAAACATTTGGCATGAGCTTATGATGAGCGGCTTTTTTCATTCCCGGCGTGGATCTTTGTCGGTGAGTTTAGATGTAACTAATCCGAAAGAAGTGGAGATACTGAAGGAAGTTCTGCTTATGTGGAACACTAGGGAAATGACAGAGCTTGAGATCTTGTTCAAGGTACATTCATGTCATGGTTTCATTCTAATTAATTGTATAAAATCTGATAACTTCCCTCTCACATTTATTTATCATATTTGCCTTTTAGAACAACAATGCTGCTGAAAAAGATGGTAAATGTTCTACTAACGGGAGAGCACACGAAAAATTGTGGGAGGATGCAAAACCGTTCCCTAATGCCGACTTCCGCGTTTCTGTTGTGCGGATGTATAATTCGACAGTTCGAATAAGGAAGAAGTTGCGTTAGCTTCCCATTTTGTGATGCAAAAGACGGTGACTAAGAAGATGATGATCGAGATTTCGTCGTCTCCACGGGAGAAGAAGATAAAGGTGGTAGCAGCTTTGATCAAGCTAATGCGACTTCCTAAAGGTAACAAAGATCTTAGTATCGAATGCTTTTGATCAGAACTTGGCTCCAGTCGTCTATCCATATTGCTCAGTATCAACTATTTATATGGTTTTGAATTTTCGGTTACTGTTTCTCGTACTTGTTTTGTGTTTTAGCGTTTGCGAGTTTATGGGACAAAAGGATCTTGATGTTTGAGATTTTCTTTGCCTTGAATATGGATATTATCTGATTTGTTGTTATTGCGTTCTTGTTTTGGTTAATGCTTTGTCGAAAGGGATATGTTTATAAACTTACTATGGAGAAAAAGATGATGCTATAACGTGAATGATTGAAAAAAAAAAAACAAGAACCGATGTTTCAACTTCAAGTCTTCAACATATACACATTAAAGACTATTTAACCCACACGACACATGAAAGATTTCTTTTTTCTAACGGCCGGCACACAAAAATTCCTAGTAAAAAAATCGAATCTTTTACACTCCATAATATCTAAACCCAAGACCTAGACCTAATTAGAGAAATAAACGTCTCGTTTAAGTTAAAGGCTATTAAAATCAAAGTCGAAGATCCCAAAAGGATAAGTAATAAATGGGTGAAGAAGAGATTGAAGGACACGTGATGATTGAGTTAAAGAAATGTCAACGCTAAGTCCATCCTTAAGGCCAAACATCACCCACTTATTAACCTAACTGCCTAACCGTCATGTCATCACCTATTCACCTTTCTCCTTCATCATCAACTTCACTTTGTGTAAACATTTCTTTTCCCTAAAGAAAACAAAATACGATCATGAAGCTCGTCTGGTCGCCGGAAACAGCCTCTAACGCTTACATCCACACCATTAGAGCTGTAAGAGCACTACTCTACATCAGTTATGCATATTTGTTTGTTATGCCATCTTCAGTTTCTGAATTATCTTTACTTTGAATAACTTACTGTATTTTTCATATGAAATAAATCGATGGTTAAATACGATCATGAAGGTCGTCTGGTTTTGCTGGTCTCTTGATGGGGCTTTAAAACGATATTTCATGGTTGCTTGAAACGATCTTTTTGTATGAAATAAGTGATTGTTGTTTTTTTAGACGTTCTTGATGTATGTGAATTAAGAATCTTGATCTAACTTTTAATTTGTGTATATAATTAATGTGTGCTTCTTGAAGTGTAAAAGCTACAAAGAATCGAGTGTGGCTGAGTATTTATCGGCTACAGCGGCGGGATGGAACACGAGGCTGATCGTCGAGACTTGGAGACGAGGAGATCCGATCGCCACCAGCGTCGGAATCGCCGTCGCGGCCATCCATACGTGCGGAAGACACGTGTGCATAGTTCCCGACGAGGAGTCGAGAACGGAGTACGAGAATGTGATGAAAAGAGCTCTTTCGAGTGAAGCGACGGAGGTAGTGGTTGGAGAATCGGCGGAGGATGTGGTGGAGAGACTTTCCGGCGTGGATTTCATGGTGGTGGACTCGAAACGCCGCGAGTTCGTTAAGGCGTTGGGACTATCGAACACGAGCGAAATGTGTGCCGTTTTGGTGTGCAACAACGCCACCCATATTCTATCCCTGGACTTAAATGGCACGATGTTTTGAGAAGAGACACACGCGTCGTGCAATCGGTGTTTTTACCCGTTGGGGGAGGGTTAGATATTGCACACGTGGGAGCCAGTAATGATTTGAAGAAGCTTCCTAGCCGTTGGATTAAACACATCGATCCATGATCTGGAAAGGAAGTATTTGTTCAAGCGTTGATAATATAAACAATTTGGGTAATTAGCCCAAAAAGGAGAAGATTTTTAAATTCTTTTTTAATGTTGTAAACAAAAACATTGTGATGGGATTGATCTTTTTTTGGTCAAAGTTTGAAAATAGTTAAATTTAAAAAAAAAATTAAAAATGGTCAAACTTTGAAAATAGTTAAATTTATAAAAAAAATCAAACTTTAGATATATTTTTATGGAATTATTCTTTAAAGGAAAACATAAAATTATAAACTTTTAAAAATGTCACACATCACCTCTCTCATCCAATATTAATTTCTGATATGTATGTCCAATAAAAAAATCAATTTATTAGTTTGCAAATTAAAACAATACATACTCTGCAATTAAAAAATATTTTTATTAATAATTTATTTCTATAATTATACATATATATATTTTTTTTAAAAAGAAACATATTAAAAAAATGAAATTCAAAGATGAAAAGATTAAAAGGAAATAAAATAAATTAGTCAAAATAAATAAAATTATTAAAAACACTTAAATATCAATTATCAATTCATCCATACATATCTTATCATAAACACTATTATCATTTTCAGATCTCTTTTTTTTTTTAACTTTAAGTTCAGCCTATTCTCTCTTGCTTAGGTTTCTCTCTTGCTCTTCTAACACAATGACCATAATAACGCGTTCATTATCATTATGATCACTTGAGGCAAGACGTAAAAAATTTCGATATCGTATCATTAACAATAATGATATGATAAGCAAACTTCCAGATGAACTACTGCATAATATCCTCTCGAGATTGTCCACTAAAGAAGCAGTGATGACAAGTCTTGTATCGCCACGATGGATGGATTTGTGGAGATGAAGGCCACATCTCATCTTAGATATGAGAAATGTCTTGATTAGAACCAACATCAACAATATGCACAAAATTTCTATTTGGTTGGCTAACTCGATGACCAAGGTTTGTTAATTTATTTTTTTCTTATTAGTTTTTTTTAAGGTTTCATTTTAATTGTTTTATGTATGGAAATTTTATCTATAAGAAAATTCATAAATGGGTCAACTTATAAACTGATGCTTGGATAGATCGTAGTTTTGGATCTGTGAATGAAATAATATAACCCTTAGATATGATCAATAGATTTGAATGTTAGTAATGACTGTGACTTATGATCAATAGATTTGAGGTAGGTAACTAAAGAACCATAGTGAATGAGAATCTAGAAAGACATGATATGATGTGATGCGTGTACTCCACATAGAGCACATCCTAACAAAATTTAATTGGATTTATATTTTTCAATCGGAAAGATTTAACTTTTGTTGTTGATATTTAGTATATATATATATATATATATATATTTCTTAAAGATTATATATAGGTTTTGATTGACAACGTCTATTGCATGCATAAAAAACTATACATATATGTTATATATGGTACATGTATATATATAACATATAAACTGTATACAAGTTTATTTCAATCTCTAATCATTTTGTGTTCTGCAGACTCTTAAGAATCACCGTGGCCCCCTAGAGAGCTGCATTATCCACCATTACTTATCTCAATGCGAAAATGGTACGCTCGAAAGTTGGATCAACATAGCGACTCGTATGAAAGACACTAAAGATCTCACACTTGTAAACCATAACTATCATGGGATTGATGAGCGTTACCAAGCAAAGACTTTGCTCCGCTTGCGCCGAGATGCATTTTCGCATCATAGCCTCACTTCACTGTCACTTTGTGGATTCAGTCTATTCAGTCCACGTGCTTTCAGAAATTGCTCGAATCTCAAGACCCTCAAGCTTGTAAACTCTTACATCACCCAGGGTACTGTCCTTACCAATGTTTTAGCAGCTTGCCCCTCCCTCGAGGTGATTGTGTTGCGAGTCAGTTCCCTAACCCAAGGTGATGTGCTGAAGATCGAGAACAACAATTTGAAGTTCTTGCAAGTGACTTACGCTTACGAGATTGAAAAGATCGAAGTGTATGCAGCTTGTCTAGATGTTCTCGACATCAAGTTTATCGACTTTGAGGAAGAAGACTTCATCCTTGCTGCCCCCAACATCTGCCAGTTTAAGAGAGACTACTGGGCTTGTTCTTCTCATGCTCACCTCAGCTACAATGTGTCATATCTCGCTCAGGTACACACTTACTTACACAAACAATGTGCATATTTAGAAAAATAATTTTTATATAAATAGTTTGACATACGTATGATGTGATGTATATGAATCGTAGGAGAAGAAAAACATATGGCATGCACTTATGGTGAGCGAGAGCGACTTTTTTCAAATTTCCCGGCGTGGATCTTTGTCAGTGAGTTTAGATGTAACTAATCCGAAAGAAGTGGAGATACTGAAGGAAGTTCTGCTTATGTGGAACGCTAGGGAAATGACAGAGCTTGAGATCTTGTTCAAGGTACATTCACGTCATGGTTTCATTCTAACTAGTTGTATAAAATTTGATAACTTTCCTCTCACGTTTATTTATCATATTTGCCTTTTAGAACAACAATGCTGCTGAAGAAGATGGTGAAGGTTCTACTAACGGGAGAGCACATGAAACGTTATGGGAGGATGCAAAACCGTTTCCTAATGCCGACTTCCGCGTTTCTGTTGTGTGGATGTTTAATTTCGACGGTTCGAATGAGGAAGGATTTGCGTTAGCTTCCCAATTTGTGATGCAAAAGACGGTGACTAAGAAGATGATGATCGAGATTTCTTCGTCTCCACCGGAGAAGAAGTTAAAGGTGGAAGCAGCTGTGGCCAAGTTAATGGAACTTCCGAAAGGTAACGAAGATCTTAGTATCGAATTCTTTTGATCAAAACTTGGTTCCAGTCTATCCATATTGCTCAGTATCAATTATTTATATGGTTTTGAATTTTTGGTTACTGTTTCTCGTACTTGTTTTGTGTTTTATCGTTTGAGAGTTTATGTGACAAAAGGATCTTGATGTTTAAGATTTGATGTTTGAGATTTACTTTGCCTTGATATGGATATTATCTGATTTATTGTTATTGCGTTCTTGTTTTGGTTAATGCTTTCTCTTAAGGGATTATGTTATAACAGCATGACAAAACCTCTTTTTTTTTTACAAAACCTCTTTTTTTTTTTACAAAACCAAATTGTATAAAACCTCTTCAAAAATTTGACGAATTGTTTATATTAAACAGAGTATTTTTTTCCTTTATGGAAATCAAATTCTTGCTGGAAAACCTTAAGGATTTAGTTTAGGTATTCACGTCAGATTTTTCTATTTATTAATATAAAAACCAAAAGTATTGTTTTTTTGTTGTTATCAAAAACCAATATTAAACAAAAGGAATATTTAAAATATTTTTGTTACTATATCCATAGCTTTTACTAAAAAAAATTGAAAAAAAAAATTGAAAACAAGCTGTAATGTTTTTAAAACAAAAGCTATTTGGTAAGAAGATTTATCATATAAAAAGAATATAAATTTCTGACTGGCATCTTTATTGGGTTTTGATAAAATATAAAATATTTTTGTTACTATATTCATAAGTTTTACTAAAAAATCAAAAATAAAATTGAAAACAAGCTGTATTGTTTTTAAAACAAAAGCTATTTGGTAAAAAGATTTATCATATATATGAAACTCTATTTCAGAAGATAACAAATGTGTAACCAACAAAAGCTAAGTAGAAATCCTCCTCCATTACAAAACCCATACTTAAAATGACGTTTTTGCCCCCCGTGGGAAAACACTACACTGCCAGAAGTGAAAGGCATCATTCTTCAAAAGTTAGTAGATTTCTCCATCAAATGTCATTTCCAGGGTCTCTCTGTTTTCTACGTATTGTTGTTTTACATGGGGATGATGATGATGATGATCAAAGTCATCTTCTTCAGCATTACTGGGAATCAAAGTCGGGTTTCGAAGGGTATTCAAGTCCCTGCAGCTCCGGCATTCGCCTTAAATCTTCTTCTGTGTATCCTGGGATGAACCAGTATCTCTTATCCATTCCAAATACCTAATAGGATCAAAGTTGTTAACGTGAGGGAGTGAAAAAAAACAGAACTTAGAACTTGTAATTCAGAAGACATTATGTCAGCTAAATCACCTGTTCAAAGTTCTTCTTTCTACCGAGGTCATACCGCCATTTTGCACTGGTTTTCTTCTCATATGCCTGTTCACAACCCAACACCAAGAAAGTTTAATGAGGAAAGAGACGAGAGAGCCAAATTATCGTTTAAGCAAAGAAAGCTCAGAGCTTTAGCCATGGGCTGCACCGAGAAGACTTATAAGAGGCTAAAGAGTAAAGACCCAAATTCTCAGTCAAGCAAAGAAAAAGAAAACTCGAAGCTGTGAAGAGTTCTAAAGACCCAAATTCTCATTACTGCAAAGGGAAGCTCAAAAACTATAAATATGGGACGAACGAATACTCTAAAGACCCAAATACGCACGAAGCTTCGAGCTTTGGCCATGTGATGTACACTGAGACATTAAAAGGTTCATTTCGAGAGAATAGAGAAAAGGAATTACCTCAATAGTTGTGGTGTTGCCAGCTACCAGAGAAATGTGCATGATTAAGAAACCCATCACGCTCAAAGCAAATGCCAAGTTCAAAACTGTTGTTTTATGATGAAACAAGGTGAGATTGATTAACAGATGAAAACCAAATACACGAAACATACCATCTAAGCAAGCACAAGCGAAGTTCGAACATTACCGAATGCAAGAAAAGTGGTAGCAAGAGTGCCCGGAGTTCCAGGTATCTCTTCATCGCTAAAGAAGGCTATGAAGTGCGGCATAAGAACCAGAGTCACAAGAGTCGTCTCTAAAAATGTGTAGAACTGCATTTGAACATTTGAAACAACACACACACACAAAAAAGAAATTGATAGGAGGAACGGGATCACAAGCTGAAGATTCTGTATAACATATTAGTCCAGAGACAAACTTACCAAGAAGAGAAGAAAATACTTATAATTCAGTGCTCCTACACAGTTAACAACCCAAACGCAATGGTGATCCATCTTCAACACACACCGACCACCTGTATATCCAATGTAACACAATCAACCTAACGATTCAATTTCAAGACTCTATATATATATATATGGTAACTGAGAAAACTTACAAACAGAACAATGATGGCAACGGGAAGGTTTTGGTTGATTGCACTTTCTACAGAACCTAATTCTTGGGTTTGAAGAATCTGCCTGTAAACCGAGAAACTCCAGGCTATTTAGCGGATCAGATTCACCTCTCTCTTCATCAGTACTTGGTCTCCAATTAGGAGGCACAGCACCAGGATCGGTAAAAACAACTGAGAAGTAGCTCCATAGAAGCATCGCCAGCTGCAGCAAAACAAAAGAATCACATTCTCAGCTAAATTCACAGAGCATCCATCTATAAGAGAACCCACAAGAACTTCATCACATCTAAAGCAACAAGCTTTGTTGACCAACGACTAAACTAAAAGCACGAAGCTTTACCAATCACATCGGAAAGATTGAAGTTGGCGAAGATTTCTACTTACGAGAAAATGGAAGAGGACTAGAATACTAAGAGCAGCAAGAGAATCAATCCCTCCTTGAGACAGAGCTGGTCCATAGTTAGTCAAAACCACGGCGTAGTAGGTAACACCGACAACACCGAGAACAAGGAGGATCATGATCGATCCGAGACCTCGTAAGGCCGTACAGAATTTGAATACGTTCCACGCCATTGCAGTACCAGATCTATGCATAGTCAAAGCACCGATCGATTACAGAATTTGGAAGAAAAAAGAAAAAAAAAAAACCTTTTTTTCCTATTTAAAGGAGACTCTCTCTCTTTCTTTCGGGGGTTGATTTCTTGCTAATGGAGGCAGAGAAGAGACGCGTGGTGAAAGAAAAACTTCTTAAAGGCCAAGAAAGGAAAGGAGGTGTTTCTGGGGAAATTGAAAGAGGTCTTAAAGCTTTCTAGGGTTTTTTTTTATATCTGAAAACAAAATCAAAGGAGTTTAAGGAATAAAATGAGAGTGGTAATTGCCAGATGCAGACTCCATGAACGAGAAGGAATGGACTATGAAGACGATGGAGCCTGGAGAATGAGACTTTTTCTCCTTGTTTGGGTTTATTTTCCGCTTTTGGAGCTTAACTAGAACTTTCAGACGAAATAAAGATTTTGTAATTTAATGACTTTGAGAGTCAATCAGTCTCTCACGATCCCAAACTGTGTGTATAATCTGATTTTTTACTTTATTGCGTATACTATGCACTTACCGATCAGATATCAGAATGTAATTTTGCTCCTTTGTCCCGACAAACAAAAAGTCAAAAACGATAAAAAAAAAAGATACATGGGAAAAGGTCAAAAAGAATTATTATGCAGATCGCCCACCGTGGGGCTCGAACCCACGACCACAAGGTTAAGAGCCTTGCGCTCTACCAACTGAGCTAGACGGGCTTGTTGCTATCACTTTCAGTATTATTTAATTGACGACAATTCAAGGGACATTGGCTTTCACACAACATGTCGTTTAAAATCGCACTGCATGTTGTTTTCAATTGCTTATTGGGATCCAATTATAGAACGATTAATACCAATGGCCCATTGGGTCAATAATAATAAGCCCAGACAACATGTCGTTTAAGATCGTACGGCATGTTGTTTTTAATTGTCTATTGGGATCCAATTAACGAACGATTAATACCACTGGCCCATTGGGTCAATAATAATAAGCCCACACAACTTGACGTTTAAGATCGCACTGCATGTTGTTTGTAATTGCCTATTGGGATCCAATTAAAGAACGATTAATACCACTAGCCCATTGGGTCAATAAAAATAAGCCCAAAAAATGTGTCGTTTAAGATCGCACTGCATGTTGATTTTCATTGCCTATTGGGATCCAACTAAAGAATGATTAATACCACTGGCCCATTGGGTCAATTATAATAAGCCCACACAACGTGCCATTAAAATTCGCACTGCATGTTGTTTTTAATTGCCTATTGGGATCCAAAGAACGATTAATACCACTGGCCCCTTGGGTCAATAATGATAAGCCCAAACAACTTGACGTTTAAGATACCACTGCCTGTTGTTTTTAATTGCCTATTGCGATCCAGGGAACGATTGATACCACTGGCCCATTGGGTCAATAATAATAAGCCTATGAAGCGTCGTAACAAGTTTGATTGTGCTCGTCGTCTTCTTTAGTTCCCCAATTTCAAAGGGTCAAGAGGAGAGGACTCGGAGCTTCTGAAGATGGCTTCCATGGTGTCACCGACCACTTGCTTGTACCGCATGAACCACCATAAATGCCGGAGAAAACTTCCCTCGGATGGTGGTCGTATAATCGCTTCGATTCCAGAGACTTCGGATGAGAAACATCCGAAGTTAATTGCTCGAAGGTACTATTCTCCTTCCTGCTGCTTGACGAAACTATGTTAATCACCGAACCAAGTATCTGATTCGAAAACTATTTGAAATTGGAAGAGAGATGATCCTTAGGAGCAGTGAACTAGCTATGATCGGAGCCATTTTCCAGCTCAGGTACGTATTTCTTCGACGGATGTGGTGATGGTGAAACAAAGACGATGATGATAAGATCTTTGTCGTTGGTGGTTCAGTGGGAGAAAACCAGATTATCTTGGAGTACAGAAGAACGAGAGATTAGCTCTGTGTCCTGCGACAAATAACTGTATATCCACTTCGGAGAATATCAGCGATCGAGTCCACTATGCTCCACCATGGTAACTTAATCAAGAGCTTTGTGTGTTAGATTTTGCTCTTTTGCTTCGAAACATTTGATCAGCAAACACATTTTGTTTTCCTGGTGAGCAAGGAACTATAATGGTGGAAGGAAAACGCCTGTGAAGAGAGAAGTTGCAATGAAAGAACTTCTTAATGTGGTAAGAACCTTGAACAAATGCGCCATTTGTTTGATGAAGTGTGGTATGTAGAGAGGTAAAACAAAACTATAGCGGTTTTATCACCATTGTTGCAGATTAAATCGACGAAACCAGACAAGTTTAGTCCTCGGATTGTGGAGGAGAAGGATGACTATGTTCATGTGGAATATGAGAGTCCAATCTTAGGTGTAAGTTATAAAGCAAGATTTGTATTGTCTTCCTCTCAACGACCACAGCTAAATATTTTGTATAGAGAAACCACTTTGGTGTTTTGACAGTTAGTAGACGATGTTGAATTCTTGTTCCATCCGGGGAAAAACTCGACAGTCGAGTATCGATCTGCATCCCGTAAAGGGAACTTCGACTTTGATGTGAACAGAAAGCGAATCAAGGTAAGAGAGAGCTTTGATGGTGAAACATATCTGTGATTATGTCACTGGCTGATGGCTAATTTGCTTTCATTAATTCTTTCTTTACTTTATCTATGCAGGCATTGCGACAGGAGCTGGAGAAGAAGGGATGGGAATCGGAGAACAGCTTCTGATTTAGGAGGATTCTACTGTTATCATTGTTCAAGACACTGACAAAATTTGGTGTTTTTGGTCCTTCAAAGTCGTGAGTTATAAGATTCATGATTTTATTATTAAGTCACTAAAAGCCTTATGTTATTCATAAGAAATGAGTGTATGTCATTTTGTCATTCTATTCAAATAATATGTTACTAGTTTATAGCTTCAGCGTATTGTGTCCGAACTTGAACATGAATGAGAAACATTAAACTCTTGTAAAGAAGATGGATACGAACTTGGACATAAAATGCTGAGTATAAAAACACTTGTAGAGAAGATGAGAAGTAACAGAATAATACTAGCTGGTTTAGTAACAAACGACAAGACATTGCAGATAAGCTCCACTTTTAGAAATAAATTTCGAAACGAGTCACAATTTAACACAAGTTCAAGATAGGGAGCCTAATGTTATAAGAAAAGCGAAAAGTAACACAGGTTCGTTCCCAACACTCATATGCGTAGAGTCTCCTAGTCTTTCCTCAATTCCATGACTTCGGTCTTGATGCCATCGGCCTTGAGAATCATAATCTCGAGCTTGTCTCCCTAACACAAGCAAAAAAATCCACAAAGCATTAGTCAGACACAAACAATCAAAGGAAGATGAAGCAATAGGTGAGAGCAGCCATTTGCAGGCGTGATGACAAAAGAAGATACAACTGGAGGAAAAGGGAAAAACTTACAGTGTATATGTCTCTCTCAGTGGCAGATGCGAAAACAGTCTTGACCAAGTCAACTGCCTCATGCTCGGAAAGGGGTGTGATAGAATCCTACATAAGCGCAAGACCAAATATAAGCAACTGAAATGATTCGTTATGTATGCTTAAAATGCTTAAAAGGACAAAGAAGATCAACGAACCTGTGCAGGTAACAGAAGCGGGCTCGGACTCTTGAGCTGGTTGTCAAGGAATGGCATTATGAGAGTGGAGCCAGAGCCTTGAGCACTGTATCCAACCTTCTCATACGATCCAACAGCGTCGTAAGTGAAGACACATCCTTTGCCTGAAATAGAAGACGGCAAAAATTTAACTAACCCCTACAGTCAGAAATATAATGGCAAAATCGAAAGAGAGAAGAAAAGCATTTTTTACCTTCGGCGTCAAGCCCTCCTAGAACATTAAAGGCATAGTAAGGGAAAAACCGCTTGAAGTAAAGCGTGTTGGAGAGAAGCTGTGCCATTGCAGGACAGCTCATTTGCTTGTTATGCTGATGCTGATAAACCTGCAGGACACAAAACACACAAAGAGAACACTATTATGCTAAAAAGTCTTTTTTTTTTAATCTTTTGATTTATGCAAGGGGAAAACTCACCATGTGCCTGGAAGCGAGCACCTTCTGCAGAGCTTTAACATCAGCCTGGAAGCCCGAGGAAGACAGGACGGCCTTGTCTGCTCTGGAGATTCAAAGACAGCGATGTTGCATACTCAATAATAAACAAAATCATCCATTGCAAAAACCCAGGAATCCATAAACAAAGATTGTCGATTCTCCATCCTAGATACACAATTTTGTTTCATCCAGATCTAAGAATCATCGATTGCAAAAACCCAGAAAATGAGGAAAAAACCCTAAAGCGAACTATTGCCAGCACTAAAATTACTTCCCCGGAGGATCAATAGCGACGAATTTGGTAGAACAAAAGAGGGCAACTTACAGTTTATGGATTTTTGAGTAATCGCGACTAAGAATACTGTAACCGGTGGACATCCGAGTATCAGCTGCGATGACGCAGTAATCCGATCCAGCGATGGCAACACATGTGCTGAAAACAACACGCCGATCAATACAAAAGCAGTAAATCGCAATAAAAACGCTCAAATAGCAAATCAGAGAGAAAAAATTGAAGAAAGAAAGACACTAGAGGAAGTATCCCAGCGTCTCGATAAAGGGTCACACGATCCTTACCCGCCATTGTTATCGTAAGGAGACCAGTTTGCGTGCTGCTTAGTCATGGAGCTCTCCGTGTCAAGAAAAGAAGAATGATTTGTTAAGAATAGCGATACAGATCGGAGGATAGCAAAAAAAAAAAAGAGAGAGATTTGAGAATAAGAGCTCTCCGTCTGGAACTCTTCTGGCTTTGTAAACACGAAAGCAGACGAAGATTAAAGGTGGGCCTTCAAATATGACTCTGGGCCTTATAATGGGCTTTAAATGACTGGGGGCGCTGTTTGTTCTTCGATCTCTCTCTTTCCGTCTCTCACTCGGAAAGCTTCTTCTTCTTCTCCATTTTCAATTGAAGATCGGCAAACCAGTCTCTCTACTTCTCTGTCTCTCACTCGATTTCGTCCTCTCAACTTTTCTTCTTTGAGTTTCCTAACTTGAGACGACTAGTAGTTCTTAGCATTTTTTGGAACTTGGGAATTTAGGGTTTTTTGGGTGTGTGAAAAACAATGGAAGCACTAGTCGTTGATGCTGGCTCCAAGCTCCTCAAAGCGGGAGCAGCGATTCCTGATCAGTCTCCTCCGATGATAATTCCATCTCAGATGAAACGAATGGTCGATGATGGGTCTTCTTCAGCTGATAACCCCGCCACTGTGCTTGAGGATGTCACTCTTGATCCTATAGAAAGGGGTTTTATCAAAGATTGGGATGCTATGGAGGATCTGTTGCGTTATGTTGTCTACACAGGGCTTGGATGGGAAGAAGGAAACGAAGGCAATATACTTTTCACAGATCCACTATGTACTCCCAAGGTCAGCTTTCTCCACTCGTTTCTTTTGTTTCCTAATTGAAAAGATAACAAATTTTTTCATTTCCGTAATCGTGTACCTTTGGATGATTAAAAAGGACCCATCTTGTTGCTATAATTGCTATCGATTCCATAGTCTTGTTCATGTAGTTGCTGTTGTTTAACGTTGAAAGCTTACTTTTTTTTCTGTAAAATGTTTAATTGGGGCAGGCTATTAGGGAGCAGTTGGTTCAATTGATGTTTGAAACGTTCAATGTCTCTGGATTCTATGCATCGGAGCAAGCAGTGTTGTCCCTCTACGCTGTTGGCCGGATCTCCGGTTGCACTGTTGATATTGGTCATGGGAAGATAGGTACTAAAGCAACTTGATCTCTCACTTTGTCATCTCCTCTCTTTGATGTCTTTGAAGTGCACCTAAAGGCTCTCAAGCTCGATGTGTTTCTGTATCTTGTTGATGTCTCTTTTCCGGTGTACCCAGATATTGCCCCAGTTCTTGAAGGAGCTGTGCAGCACATTGCCTCTAAACGGTTTGAGCTCGGTGGAACGGAGCTAACAAAACTATTCGCCCAAGAACTTGGAAAATCAAACCCGTCCATGAATCTCAGCATGTCTGATGTTGAAAAGCTCAAAGAGCAGTATGCAAACTGTGCCGAGGACGAGATTGCGTACGAGAAAACCCGAAACTGTGAGATCGAGCAGCATACACTTCCTGATGGACAGGTTTGTGTGACTACAAATCGAAGATTATACAACTTTGCGTTGCCTTATTGTATATAACAGAATCATGGTCTTATAGGTGATAAGCATTGGGAGAGAGAGATACTCTGTTGGTGAATCTCTGTTTCAGCCATCAATATTGGGGTTGGAGGAACACGGAATCGTTGAACAGCTTGTCCGGATTATCTCCACAGTCTCATCTGAGAACCACAGGCAACTCTTGGAGAACACTGTACTTTGTGGCGGCACAACCTCCATGACAGGTAAATAATAACTTGGTTCAATCAATCTTGCGTGTTTTTGATACTTTGGGTGTTGGAAAACTGAAGTCTTTGGTGGAATGGTTATTGGCAGGATTCGAAGGCAGGTTTCAGAAAGAAGCAAACTTGTGCTCATCTGCTATTAGGCCAACGCTGGTGAAGCCGCCGGAGTATATGCCGGAGAATTTGGGATTGTATTCGGCTTGGGTAGGAGGAGCAATACTAGCCAAGGTGGTATTTCCGCAGAATCAGCATGTTACTAAAGCTGACTACGACGAGACTGGACCCTCGGTGGTTCACCGGAAATGTTTCTGATCCCGGAAAGACCGGAGAGTTTCTAGTTGTTGTTGTAGCTGAGGATTGTTTGCTATTGCTGCGTTTAGGTTTAACCGTGATTATTTTGGACACACCCCAATCAATCTATGTACTTCTTAGCAGATTTTAAGATTTGGACCAAACTAGTTGCCTTGTAAGCAACTCTTGAATCTTACTACTAAAAACCAAACGAATTGTTGACAAACGCAGACGTTTTATAATCACAGTAAGTACAGCAACCGAAACCGTGGTTCCGGTTGGATCCTAAACGCAAACGTTTTACAGGAATCCGCACGGTGGAAAAACTATTCGAGGGAGAAAGAACAAACGCAAAATGCGTTTTGCTGTCAAATTCATCATCAAACGAAGTATCTGACTTTGAAATTTCTACAAAAGCATTGAACGGGATCCATTTTTCTAGCTCGGTTTAGCGAAAACCGGCCCTAATCTCTTCAAACGAATACTCAACAGCGTCTTCTTGATCCATCCTCTTTTCCACCGCCGGGAACAAAGGAGTGAACGGCGTCGTGGCCTCCGTCATAGCGACTGAAGCTGCCGGAGTCGTTGGTACAGAGATGGGAACCGCCATTTTTCTGTTTTCTTCGTTGGTTTTAGGTGATGACTTTGCTGTGTAAGCATCCTTGCGATCTTCTGGGGAATTCAAGATGTTGGAAGTAACAGGTGAAAGAGGCTTCCTTAGCATCGGAGATATGCCTTTGTTTGTCACAGCTTTTCCTGCAGCCGAAACGTTCTTTGTTCTGAGACGACCAGGAAGCTCTGAGTTTCTCCTCCCTGCACATATTATTGACACAACTCTCTAGCATAAATCTCTTTCTCTTGGTCTCTATAAAGGTGTAAACTACGCTCTTGGGTTAGTAATTATTATGTACCTGAAGGAGCTGGAAGAGTAGAGTTTCTTCTACCAGTAGCGTTCTGGTCGTAGTAGTTAGTCTTTTTGCTATTGAGTGTTGCCTTGTCAAGCTTCGAACTTTGAAGCATGGCACCACCAAGGGAGAGTTTTCGGTTCATGGCAGCAGCAGATGCGGGAGTTCTCAGTGGTTTCTTTCCGCTTTTACTTGGGCTTGGTTTTGACCCGTAAAGGGCTTCTTGTTCTGTGATGAGTTGTCCATGGAGTTTCTTCAGATCCTGGAAAAAAAAACAACAATGTCAAAAATTGCCCATGATGTATATTTTTTGCTTACAAATGGCCTCCTTACTCTTTGTCTCTGTTTTTCAAACTCTTTCTCTTCCCCTAGAGCCTTGTACTGCTCAAGCATCGATAAAACTCGTACCTGTCCAATTTTCAAATGGAACGTTGCGTTTGTTTGTGTAAAGATGTCGATTTGATAAGTATGTTGGAACATAGTCATTGATCAGTAAAGACACTTACACCATCATACAAGAATTCATTTCCTCTTTCATCCTCCCAAGCATTGACTTTTGCGGTCAGAGCCTCCACCATTGCTGCACAAAGCAATGGAAAAAAAGATCAGGATCCTCGTTTCACGGTGTAGTCAAAGAAATCTAGAGAACAAGAACGTTACCAGGAAGTTTATTGACAAGTATACGGGCTTTCTCGGCACGTTTCAATGTAAGATGAGCTCCTCTTCCCGCATTGTACCTATTATCATCCTGCGAATCCAAGAATGTTTAGAAGAAAAAAAGCTGAAGCAGACAAAAAGCTTGAGATTAAAATGTCTCACCCGATTGTATTCTTCGAGCCAAGACTCTTCTTCGCATGCTGACATCCACTTCTCCACTCTCTCTAGAATCTCTTTCCGGCTTGAAGCTTCTTCTTTGACCTTCGCAATCTCGGAGTCAATTTGCTCTAACAACTGTTCAGGATCCTTGAAACCTGGAAGATGAAATACATGGACCGTTTTAATAAGCAAACATTTCTTGAGTTGCTCATCAAAGTGGCATTCTAAAGATAGTTTTACCAGATTCTAAAGCTTCAAGCGAAAAGTTTTCTGATTTAAGAACTTGGGGTGCCATGTGCATCTTCCTTGATATTTCCTCAAGCTCGAGCTTCTTTCTAAGGATCACCTCTTTGATCTTGGTTGTCTTGAGCTTGCTAAGCCTAATGACTTCATCCTCAGACTGTTAAACAAACCCACATTTTTAATTACCATACTGTTATAACAAGATAGCCTAACAATAGAGGGACAAAACACAGCAAAGTACTCACGTTTTTAATGGAAGCAACAGAAAGCAGGTTGGCCTCTGTAACCTCAGACTCGGACAAAGCAATGCTGCAGGTGACATTGTGAAATGTCTTTTGCTCTTCCGCAGGCGTGTCCAGCAGATTCCATAGCTCCAACAGGGAGACTGCAAGATCTTGAACCTGGAAAAAAACAAGTGGTAAAGAGCCAGAAACTGTAAGCACGACGCACAACTTTTTCGAACAGCATTTTCAGAAAGAGCTCAAGAGTTATTACCTTCTGCATACGCTGTAACTTGACCACTCGTAAGTTCTCAATCATCATATCCAACTTATCAAGAGTGCTTCTTCTCACATCTCTGGTGTTAAAATCAAGCAGAGATGAATGTATCCCTTTGATCAAGTCCTTGAAATCTTCACCAAGCACCGAACACAACAAGTTCAGCGTTTCCAGCAAACGCTCTACCTCTCCCAATCTTTTGCTCTGCAGTTTAGAAACAAAGAAGAATATTGTAAGTCCCATATCAGATATGTCTAGAGAGTTTTAGAAATGTAACACAAAAGGTAAAAAACCAACCTTTTCATTCTCGAGTTGAGCCAATTGCCGACGCAAGTCCTCCAACTTCTGAAGCGAAAGATCTGTCTCTTCTGCACCAAACTTGTTCAGATAATCCGTTGGGTTTCCAAGTTGAAATGACAACTTCAGTAACTGATCAATAACTTCCTTAAACCGGTTCATTCTCTCGGTTTTCTTTTTGCGCAGCCCCTCTAACTGCACATTCACGTTCTCGAGCTCCTCCTTTAAGTTTTCTCCCACCCTGCTGTTACACTACAAGAAGAAAACAACACACAGAAAAAAGTAAACAAGATTGTTGCAATAACTCAGACAGAATGAAGAAAAGTTTACCAAAGCAGTTACATGAATCTCTTGTCCACCCATGGAAGAGCCAATGGCTGCAATCTCGGCTCTTCCCACAGCGATTTCTTTCAGTAAGTTTGCTTTAGACCTACTAGCCTTTTCAACGTTTCTCTTATAAACAGAGAGACACTCTTTCTCAATATCAGCCAAAGCAGCGTCCTTTTCATCCTCAGTCTCTCCCATTTCATTCCATATTTCCTGATGTCAAAAAAATGGTGAATTTTTTACACAAAAGCCAAGAAAATTAAACACTTTTTTGGGCAGCGAGGATAATGATTAGACTTTAGTATCTTTCAAGAAAAACCTGCAATTGGCGAAGCAACAATCCACATGTTGTCTCGATTCGAGAAAACTGTTCCGTTGAATCCCTCATCATGGTGATTAGAACACGCTAAATCCTTACTCTCGAAATCTGAAGGCAAACAAAAGTTCCCAATCACAGAATCGCAATGGCTACAGAAATATAAAGAAATATTCTTTTAAGTTTCTCTCTGTGTTTTCTTCCGTATGATGAAACTCAGAATCGCAATGGCTACAGAAAATGGAAGATCATTGAGATTTACAAGTGAAAAGTGAGAAATAGAACTTACATCGATCAAAGATCAGCCCCCAAGAAAAACAGATGTGATCAACGCTGGAGAGAGCGAAATTAGGGTTTATAGTTGTTGGGAATTGGTCAGGAGGGTAACGGATGTAAAATCAAAATTTGAAGAGGGAGCGGGAGGAGGGTCCGTTACGATCTGAGGCTCACGATTTTTGCTTACGTGGCGTTATCTGAGCCGTTGTATGAAAATCCTCTTTCCTTTTAAAGCTTTTCTCCTCTTTTTAACGGACCAGATTTCGTAAGGGAGTAATAAAGCCTTTGAATTTGAAAAGGGGCTGTTCCGGGTTTTTGAAATATAATTGGCTCCATGTTGATCTTGTAAAATAAACAATTTAAACGATATTTAAAACAATAAAGCACACTTAAATAATCAAATCCTTTGATATTCTAACCTGTATTCCCATCATTATTGTTGTGATATACTCTTTCCGAATCGATGCTAATCGATGCAAGAGAGAATCTAAAGAGCATACACAAAATGAAAATGTTTTTGCATCTATCAGATGATATTAAAATATTTCTAATTAGAATACTGTCGGTCTTTTACATTTTGTTTTGGCGATCGAGCAAATACCGATATTTTGACATTCCTTTTTTAACTACATACAAAAAATATTTTTAATAAGACATTAGAATTCATGATTAACTGTTTGAGTTCATACAGAAGCATTCGAACATATATAAAACATAAAACGATAGAGTTTACGATAGAGTATGGATAAATAATGTGGAGTTGTGGTATAAAAAACCGATAGAGCTGTTTCTTAATTATGCGTTCGTGTTATGTAAGTGTTACCCTAAAGCCTAGCCCTATAAAAAATAATGTTTGGAACTTTCTATTGTCCAAGAAACGTTGTAGTACTACTATATATATGTCATTGGTTGTTTTTAAGTCTAAAGTCACTGTGGATGCCCTTCATGGTTAAAAAAAAACTAGGTTTTATGTATATCCTGATCAACCTAGATTTCCGTTAACAGAAGTATGCAAATACATTTTCTCGTTCCAGTTATGTTACAATAAGGATAGCGAATGATAAATTAATTTTGTTTCCAATAAAAAGTTATATTTGTTCTTTCTTTTTTGTTGTTGTTCCAACTGCATTTTCAATTGTTTGGGAAATGTGATTATGAATGTAAATTTCGAACCGCGAAATTAACTTTGAACTTCACTCAGCATATCATAAAACAACTTTTTTGTCACCGCTTTTGGAACGCTAAAGTAAAGAGGCGGTAATATCTTTTATCCAGAAAACTAGTGTTCAAAATCAAATTACCCTACCAATAGAAAAAAAAGAAGACGATGAGTGATCGGGAAAGAAAAGACGAACCAAAAATTTGGGAATTTTACGAGGAAAGAAAGAATTTGAAAAAAAAAATGAATTTGTATGTGGAGAGAAGAAATAGAGAGGAAGAAGACAAGAGGATATACAAATATAATAAATTAATAAAATAAAATAGTGCCCTGGACTTATCAGTATTGTCAGACCGAGCCTGAGCTTCTTAAAATGCCAAATAATTGTAAAAAATAATTAAAACAAAAGAAACACAGAAAATTACTCAAAAATCCTCCTCTTCGCTCTCCCCCTCTTCATCGTCGTCGTCGTCTTCTTCTTCTCCGTTGTCTTCGTCTGCTTCTACTTCATCCTCCTGATGAATCCTCACAAAACCGAAGAAGATCTGTTCCACCATCATGATCTCGGCCCGACGGACACTATCGTTCAGTCACAACCATCTATTCACCTCCACAATCCCGAAGACGATCCCGCGTTTTCCGTACCGGAATTTGTCCTCTTCCGTTCCTCTACATCCGGAGAATCCCCGGGTCACTCCTCCGACGAACAAGACGATGCGTCTCATCCCCGTGCCGGAACCCCCAAAATTGCTGCTTCGTCAAACCCTAGGGTTTCGAGTGAAGGAAGATGTGAGACTTTTATCAGCCCCGATCCTCATATCTCATCTCAGTTCTACACATTCAACGCAGATTCCCACTCTCTAATGATCCGCTGCCTCCGCGAGGGCCGTCTCGCTACGCCGGCGGAGATCCGTATCGTCACGCCAAGGTCCGTCCTCAACTCATGGCGCTCCGTCTGGAAGGATCGAAACGAGGACACGGCGTACCTCACGGCCTGGAAACGGATCCAGGACAAGCTCACTGCACGCCTCGACCCAGCCTCCGGTAACGAATTTCTCTGCTTTAAAAACAATCCCCAGCAATTCATCTCCCACATCAACCAGTGGCAAGATATAGTCATGGGTTTCCACGGTGATGGCGATTTGAAGCACCTAGGGGCTAAAGAGACTGTGGAGAGGATCAAGCAAGTCTGGACGGTGGGTGCTAAGCTGTATGGAATTCCCGAGAGCTTTATTAGGGTTTGTGTAGCGGCATGCGCTATCTGCAATGATGTCTCTGCTTCTGGTTCGAGGAACAAACGGCGTCGATTTGAGTATACAGAGTCTTTTGATGTGCCTGCCAAGGATGTTCCCGATAGGCTGCAGCAATTGGCTGCTAAGCATAAGGTTGTGCTCTGCATTAGGCAGAAGTATATTAGGTACAAGCCATTCATGGCAGAGGTGAAAGATTATGCTTGTCACAGAGCTGGAGAGCCTGCCTCAATTAAGAAGTCTAGGATTTTGAAGAGGGAGTCTTATCAATCAAAGAGATGCGGCTGTGGTTTTAGGATTAGAGCTATTGTGCCCATTGCTAACTACAATGAAAAGGACAAAACTTTTGTATATGAGGAAGAAGGAACGGCTGTTTTTAAGCTATACGCTGTCCATTCAGGTCATGAGCCCGGGGCAATGGATGGAAATGCGAGAATTATGCATCGGATTGTTGGTCATAAGGGTTTTTTGATGGACCAGGATACAGTCTATGGAGTGAGGGAAGAGTTAGAAAGTGAAGGGACTGGGTTGATTGGGAAGGACGATGGTGGAGATATGCATTTTACTGTCTTGCATCAGGTGCAGGAACTAAGGGGTGAACTTGGCACTCTAGAAGCAAAGATTGGGAAGATTCCACAAGAGATGTTGGGTTCAGTGTCCAGAGAGTTGTTTGAGATGCTCAACAAGATGAGGAGTATCGGTGATGAGTGTGTTAAGGGAACAGCGGGCTTGCTTTCGGACAAGGCTCCCTCAGATGAAATACTTGTTGGAGATAACGATTTGGCACATTGGAGTGGCCATCACCATGAGCATTTATATGGAGATGGAAAGGACGCAGAACTTATTGAAGATGATGAGGACAGTTTCGGGAGGAGCCTTGATGATGTTGTTCCTTGGGAACAGATAACTCCACCGTCAGGGTGTGGAAGTCCAAAGGATCACCTGTCTGAGACCTGTAAGCCTGAGAAATGGTTAAAGTGCAATGACTTTGATGAGAAGAGCATTCTGAATTGTGAAGATTCTAAATTAACAAAACCGATGAGACACAACGAAGGTATAGTAACAGATGTAGGCTTAGTTGGTATACAAGTCGATAGCTTCTATCAAGAAAACTCCAAATGGTATGATTCTCCTTGTGGTTTGGATTCAAACACGGACTGTGAAGACAATGGATTCAGACACGGGGAGATTTTGTAGGAACACGGTAAGGTTCTCATAGTAACCAATTTCTAACTCTCAGTCTCACACATCTTGTTATGCATATCATTCCCCAATTCATAAATGGGGATCAGATTGTATATTTATCTATTCGGTTTCAGGGATTTTTTGTTTGTTTGTTTGTATGTCGTAGGGAGTTTCTTTGCTGTGTGGTTATGTAAAGTGAAACCCAGAATGTTTCTCTGCATATATAACATTGTTAGTTTATTTTACCAAGCTTTGTAACCTTTTAATGTATTATCGCTTCTAATTATTGTAAGTGATAATCTTTTGCTTCCATATCATTTGAATGTCTTTTGGTTTCAGAATTGACCTGGAACAGGCTCGTTCTTGATATTGTAAGATGCTTGTGGAGTTTTCTTTGACGAAATTTGATTATGTATGGTTAGAGTCATTAAAAGTATAAAATTCAGTTTATGTTAACATATTAAGTTGTCTAAGATTATTAATTAATTTAACCTTTTGTAATTAGCCATCCTCTTAATCTTAAGAACTTGGATTGAATACGTGTTGGATATATAAGTACAACAGACCGGGAACAGGCTACGAATTTCCCGGGGGTCAACAGCTTACAAACGCCGAATTGTAAAATATCGAAATTGGTGTCTGAATTTTCCTTAAATTACGAGTGGCCCCTCTAAGTTCAGTGTCAACTGAAGGGGTATTTTGGTCACGTAAATACGAAATTTTCATTTCGATGGCAGAAAAATCAAACTGGGACGCGATCTGACTTCTGAAGTTTCGTCTCGTCTACCTCTTAGCTCTGCACCCTGCAATTTCCTTTTGCAGCGGTTTGAGTCAGACTCGTGACCCAACTCGTCGCTGTGGATCGGACGCAAGAGCTCCGAGGCAATTCAGTGAAGAGGCTATTTCATCCCTGTTGGTCTATATACCTTTCGTGGTTCCAGATCTGTCTAACGTTGCGTCGCTGAGCTCGCCGTGAAATTGGGAATGGCTTCCTCGGAAGCCGATTCCCGATTGAGTCGAGTCGTAACACCAGCTTTAGAGAAGATCGTCAAAAACGCGTCGTGGCGGAAACACTCGAAGCTCGCTACCGAATGCAAAGCTGTCATCGAACGGCTAAACTCGCCGCAGAAATCACTACCTCCGTCTTCCTCTGCTGACTCCGAGCCTGATTCCTCTGTTCCCGGTCCACTTAACGACGGCGGTTCGGTCGAGTACTCGCTCGCCGATTCCGAATTCATCTTCAGCCCTCTGATCAATGCCTGTGGCACTGGCCTCCCGAAGATCGTCGAGCCTGCTATCGACTGCATTCAGAAACTTATCGCGCATGGCTACATTCGTGGCGAATCTGACCCCTCCGGTGGAGCGGAGTCCATCCTCCTTTATAAATTGATCGAGTGCGTTTGTAAATGCCATGATTTGGGAGACGAAGCCATTGAGTTACCTGTGCTCAAGACTCTGTTATCCGCTATTAACTCCATCTCGCTGAGGATCCATGGGGATTGCTTGCTCCAGATTGTACGTACTTGCTACGACATCTACTTGGGAAGCAAAAACGTGGTGAATCAGACGACTGCCAAGGCGTCGCTTATCCAGATTCTGGTGATTGTGTTCCGGAGAATGGAGGCGGATTCGTCAACGGCCCCGATTCAGCCAATCGTAGTAGCTGAGCTCATGCAGCCGGTCGAAAAATCAGATGCGGATGGGACGATGACGCAGTTTGTTCAAGGCTTCATCACCAAAATAATGCAGGATATAGATGGTGTGTTGAACCCGACAATGCCAGGATCAGGAGGCCAAGCTGTGGCGTTGGGGACTACCACAGTGGAAACTACGAACCCGACGGATTTGTTGGACTCCACTGATAAGGACATGTTGGACGCTAAGTATTGGGAGATCAGTATGTACAAGTCGGCTCTAGAGGGAAGGAAGGGGGAGCTAGCAGACGGTGAAGCTGAGAGAGATGATGATTTAGAGGTTCAGATAGAGAACAAGCTTCGGAGAGATGCCTTCTTGGTTTTCAGGGCGCTTTGTAAGCTCTCCATGAAGACGGCTCCAAAAGAGTCTTCGACAGATCCGCAGTCGATGAGAGGGAAGATTCTGGCTCTTGAGCTGTTGAAGATCTTGCTGGAAAATGCTGGAGCTGTCTTCAGGACAAGCGAAAGGTATCTTCTTGTAACTAAAATGTTTGCCTCTTGTTTGAGAATGTTAGAGCGAGTCCACCATATGAAGAAAAGTCAGTTTTTTTTTATTCTACTGATAAATTGCCATCTCTGTTGAACAGGTTCTTAGGTGCTATCAAACAATATTTGTGTTTGTCGTTGTTGAAGAACAGCGCTTCTACTCTTATGATTATCTTCCAGCTTTCTTGCTCTATCTTTATCAGTCTGGTTGCAAGATTTCGGGCCGGGTTAAAAGCGGAAATTGGAGTTTTTTTCCCCATGATTGTTCTTAGAGTTGTGGAGAATGTTGCTCAACCTAATTTTCAACAGAAGATGATTGTTCTTCGGTTTCTTGACAAGCTTTGTTTGGATTCACAAATCCTAGTTGATATATTCTTGAACTACGACTGTGATGTCAATTCATCAAACATTTTCGAGAGGTATGTTATTTAACTTGATACTTCGCTGTTCAGAGTTTTAGTTTTGATGAGGTGAAAATTCTTTGCGTAATTTATGTTTCCTCTGTATGATCGATCATGTTTAGGATGGTCAATGGTCTCCTTAAAACGGCTCAAGGGGCTACTTCTGCTACAGCTTCAACGCTGTTGCCACCTCAGGAGGCAGCTATGAAACTTGAAGCCATGAAATGCTTAGTTGCCATATTGAAATCAATGGGAGATTGGTTGAATAAACAGTTGCGCCTGCCAGTTTCTAATTCATTGAATAAATCTGAAGCACTCGAGATCGATTTGGGACCCGGAAGCCCCCAGTTGGCAAATGGAAATGCTGATGAGTCTGTTGACGGATCAGATACCTATTCTGAATCTTCAGGAGGTACATCTGATGCTTTGGCCATCGAGCAGCGCCGGGCTTACAAGCTCGAACTTCAGGTAAGAATGTACTTTGGGGATTTGGCAGATAATCCAGAAGATTGACATACTATACCTGTTCTGTGGCCGTTAATTCTAATTTAAATGTTTGTCTCAGGAAGGTATTTCTCTTTTTAATCGGAAGCCAACGAAAGGCATTGAGTTTCTCATCAACGCGGGTAAGGTGGGTGAGTCTCCTGAAGAAATAGCAGCTTTTCTCAAAGATGCGTCAGGGTTAAATAAAACTTTGATAGGCGATTATCTTGGAGAAAGAGAAGAGTTACATCTCAAGGTGATGCATGCGTATGTGGATTCTTTTGATTTCCAAGACATGGAATTTGATGAGGCAATAAGAACCTTTCTTGAAGGTTTTAGGCTGCCAGGAGAAGCACAAAAGATTGACCGAATCATGGAAAAGTTTGCTGAACGTTACTGCAAATGTAATCCCAAGGTGTTTACTAGCGCTGACACATCTTATGTTCTTGCATATTCTGTGATCATGCTCAATACTGATGCCCACAACCCCATGGTGAAGAACAAGGTTTGTTTCATGCATTATCTTGGATAAAAAGAGTTATCGTGGAAGTTTGAGGTAGCATGTTGATGAGGTTCTTTGTGCATTTTTTTTTTCTTTTTGAACATATATAGATGTCTGCCGATGACTTTATTAGAAACAATCGTGGAATAGACGACGGAAAAGATTTACCTGCGGACTACATGAGATCGCTGTATGAAAGGATAACAAAGAAAGAGATAAAGCTGAAAGAATATGATTTACCTCTGCAACAGAAGCAATCCACAAATTCAAACAGAATGCTTGGTTTGGATGGAATATTAAACATAGTGATCCGGAAGCAGGGAGGAGACTCGTATGTGGAAACAAGTGATGATCTGATGAAGCATATGCAAGAGCAATTTAAAGAAAAGGCCCGCAAATCAGAGTAAGATCACTCACTCTTCCTTGCATTAAAAGTTGTTAACAATCTTTTCCATCATGACAACCATTTCTCTGTCACATCGTATTCATTTCAACTCGAAACTACTCCTGGACTGTTTCTATCTTGTAGGCATCTTTGAACTGATGCAGTATTTGAATTTACTTTGAGTTTGCAGGTCAACCTACTATGCTGCAACAGATGTGGTTATTCTCAGATTCATGATTGAGGCTTGTTGGGCTCCTATGCTTGCTGCATTCAGTGTGCCCCTAGACCAGAGTGATGATTTGATAGTGATCAGCTTATGTCTTGAAGGCTTCCACCATGCAATCCATGCCACTTCTTTGATGTCAATGAAGACCCATAGAGATGCTTTTGTGACTTCACTAGCGAAGTTCACATCCCTTCACTCCCCAGCTGATATCAAGCAGAAAAATATAGAAGCCATTAAGGTTAGTATTACTACTACATTAAGGTTTCTGTATTTTTGTTTTAAAAAAATTAATAGTCCCCTACTTCGCTGTACCGAAAAATAAGCTATGTATCTTGGGTATCTTTTCCCCGTCTTACGTCGTTCTCTGTCTATTCCTTATGTTACTTTTCTGTCGATGATATATCCTTCCAGCTTTCACTGCCGCCATTTTTCCTATAAATTTTGTCTGGATCCCAATTAATATTCGTTGTTTTCCAGGCGATTCTCAGACTTGCTGATGAAGAGGGCAACTATTTGCAAGATGCGTGGGAGCATATACTAACTTGTGTTTCCCGTTTTGAGCAACTACATCTCTTGGGAGAAGGTGCTCCTCCAGATGCCGCTTTTTTTGCTTCCAAACAAAAGGAGTCAGAGAAATCAAAGCAACCCAAACAAAATGTACTTCCTGTTCTGAAAAAGAAAGGTCCTGGGAAAAATCAATATGCAGCTACAGGTGTCTTGAGGGGTTCATATGACAGCATGAGTCTTGGCGGAAAAGGTTCTAAGAACGTGAGACAAGAACAGATGAGCAGTATAGTCTCTAATCTAAACTTGTTGGAGCAGGTTGGTGAAATGA